GGTGGGTGTGCTGGAGAGACACTTTTCCCAGCTCAGGGACTGAATGTCTCCAGGGTGCTCCCACCTCTCCAAGTATGTGTCCACAACAGGCTGCTTCTCACCTGCCCTCAGGGATTACCAGCCCCTTGGCACTGGGCTCAGGCTGGCATGATGCAACACAACACAGCACAGTGCTAGCACTCTGGGAAGAGCTTTGAACATGATGCAAGAGTTACGAACATGCAGCAAGACTGTCACCTCAAAAGGTCATTGCTGTGATCTCCTTGTCCAGCAGACTCAAGACAATCAATAACGCTGGCACTGCAGAGATTTTTGTGGTATTTAAAAGACCAAAAATAAACGCGAAGACTTTCCTTTTTCTTGAATGGTACAGAAAATTCTTTCTGGAGAGCCTTTAGGAGGTTCATTCTCTAGAGAAAATCCATCATGTCTGTAATATCCCTGAGATAACCTTGCTCAGCCAGAGATTAGAGTTATGATAGCCACGTTGTCCAGGCCACAGCAGCTGCTCCCGTGCTGTGAGGCAGTGGCGGGTTTGCAGCAACAGACTGAGCACTGCCCCACTGCCCTTCACTGAACAGAACTTTCCTGTAGGTGGGACAAGCTTTGTGTGATTCTCAACCTGCTCCAGGACTGGAGATGCTAAAGTCAAGCACCATTTACAGCACACTGTCAGAGCTAAATCCCCTCTTCCCTAATGAATGGTTCCACCTGTGCATCCCAAACCTGAATTGTCTCACAATACTTTCATTTAACACTGCTCCATGATAATCCTGAAACCAGGTCCAAGGGCTATATTCAATTTTCACTTCTGTTGCTCACTCATTCCATTAGCTTATCATGCTGTCTTTCACAGTTATAAATGGGAAATATTTATGAGTACATCAAAAACATGGATGAGAGCCAGTTTACCAATGTTTCTAAAGTCTTCAGAGACCACAGGGGAAAAGGAACAGAGCAGTGTCCAGTGTTTGCTTAAAGAACTGAATTTTTTAATGTTATTTCTCATAAACCAAAGCCCACCTGAATATGTTAATTATATATTGCACTGCAGATGCCAGAGGTATTCACAGCTATGGGTAAGATGCAGCACAGAGTTTGGGTAGGATGTAAGGATTAATTTTGAATTGATTTTCACTTTATCTAAGCTCTATATTTTTTATTTATATTATAGACTAAAATATCCTATAAGGTTTTTGTTTAATTTCTGTGATATACAGAACACTTGTGTAGTCCACTGGTTCTATGGTCACCATCTCATTCTATTAATGTTTTCAGTATTAGAGATTAAGGATGTTTTCCATTTGCTGTTCAGCTACAGCAGAGAACTGCTTAGCTCGGCCCAGTGAGCTGTAAATTCAGAAGTGTTGCACTGTGCACCACAGACTACACAATATGGTATAGACATGGGCATAAACTATTTCCTTGACTTAAATTTAGGTCTGTTTTAATGCTGTTGCAGGAAACATTATAAGTGTAGTAAACAGCAAAAACATGATTATTTATAGAATGAACACACTAACTTTCAAGTTACCATGCAATCTAGAAATAACTACATAAAATGTCCTGCCACTCCATACCCTGCACAGTTTTTCTGTTTTACTTTCATTGTCCGAAGATATCGCTATTCTGATGCTCTTTAGTGATGGCTATATGATGACATTTGCTGGGCCCAATATAAAACCAGATTAAGTTCTATGAGTTTCTATGAGCATAGTTCAACATTTGAAGCACTATTAGGGTGCTATGTTTGTTCATTCAGCCAGGAGGTAAGTCAGCACAAGACCTGGCAACCAGCTAAATCTGCAACATCTCCCCACAGGAGCAAATCTCACCCTTCTAGAGGTACAATCCAAAGGTTAACTCTGATTTGAAACTTTTACAATATTTTCACTGTAAATTTCCCATAAGGCCTCTCTCAACTTCCCTGTTTGTCCCATACCCTGTACTGCATCAAGAAACTCCACCTCTACTGTACAAAATGAAATAGCATCTACAGATTTTCCTAGAGCAGGATATATATCATAGAGTAATGAGCAAGTACTGAATTTATGAGATGTAAGGACCATTCCTTCTCCTACTAACTTCATCAGAAGCAAGAGCAAGCTAATAAGTAAAAAGAGAAAAATATTCATTTCCTGCCCAAGTGCCAGTGTATAAAAATGGATTTTTTGTTTCCATCTAAAGTCAGCTGATCACTGTTAATGAGACACATTGTCAAAAAGTCATTCTAGTGAGGCAAGCAAACAGATGCACCAGGTAAGGGAGGAATGTTGGAATAAAGGACAGGTATATCATCTCAGCACAGACCATCTAGGAACATAGCATCTATGTTATGCCTAAAATAATTAAATGATGTCTCTATGATCTATATCAGAAACCTGGAATCCCCTGATGACTTTGACAACAAATGTAATAAGCATTGCCTCAGACTGCCTCTTCCTACTGCCAGTATTGTCCTAGGCACAACAGACGAGACAGTAACTTACAAATTAACATCCCCAACACAACCACAAATCAGTGTTGCTACTTCCATAAAACTGGTAACCATGTCAAACACTCTCCAAAAGCAGTAAAATATTCTCTGACCTTCAGACACTACTCTGTTTGCTCTGAGAAAAACATTTACATCTCTTATCTCCTTAACCTAAAAAAGACTTTTCTACAGAAATAATGTACTGTGAGATGGAATTTACATGGAATCTGTTAAAAATTACATCTTAAGCAGGAAGAAGTTATCTGAAAAGTATCTTTCAAGAACCTCTTTTCAGACACTTGGAATGAAAAGGGAGCAACTGGAGCTCGACATCTGACAACAGATTTGAACATTGCAATTTTGCATCTCCACAGTAACATTCCCACCACAGTAAACACTTTTCTTAAAAAAGCCACCCAAATACCATGTTCTTACTGTTAGATAACCTAATATAAACTTCTACAAAAGTCTACTTAGTCTAAATGCTACCAGTCTACTAAATGCTCTCATGAAAACACACACAGTTATGCACTAAAATGTACTTTCACAAACATTTACTAATGGACAGGAACAGACAGTGCAGTAGCTTTTCTCAATAAACAACCACTCCATCTCTTACTTCTTGCTCCTAATCTGCAAATACAGCCTCAAAAGATATGCATCCTCCTTAACCTACAACTACTGCCTATCTTTATTTTCCCCAGATTATCTTATTTGATATCTGAATAAAGTCAGAGAAACTCAGCTGGTATTTAGCTTTGAAGTCCATTGCCCATATTTGACACTTGAAGGAATTGCATGCCCAGAAGTTTTCCGACATTTTTCTATTTATCCAACAAAAAAGTTACCTCTATCTACAAATTATCTCCTAAGTATGACTGAAAAGCAGCACAGCCGTAACCCTGAGAGGATTTCTTACCCCTCAAACCAGCAGGCCACCAGGTCAGAAAGTTGATGCTCATAGTTTTATTCTCTCATAAACCAAACTGAGAGGAACCAATAAACGACAGAAAATCACTTGCAGTGTCTGTTTGACTTCTTGCCAAAGTATTTTTGGGTTTTTTTGGTAAATTATTCTGTAATTCCTCAATTTCTAGCATTTTCAATTTTAGAATATCTCTTCTGATTCCTTCAGATTAAATATGCAGACACTTAAACTACAAACATTTTTTGCTACTTGTTAATGTCATGTTTGGTTCTCAATAACTTACAGTAATTGAAAAAGAAAAAAGCAAAATATCCACTTGGTATCGAAAATATTTGCACAAATGGAAAACTGTCTCCTGTGTTAGCACAGTTGCTCTCATAACCATTCTGTTTTGCTATCAGTAGTCATGAACAACTTAGCTAATAAGTGTTAAATGATATTATACAATCCATATATTAACTGAAAGCAGATGTACTCAGAGCAAAAATTTCAGATTGATGTGCTAAAATGCATTTCACATATTTTATTGTTCAGTGATGCACATTACACATATAAACATGCAGTCATTCATTAATCTGTATTGTTAAACACCTGTTTGTATTAACTGTAATGCCATTCTGTCACGATACTGGATGAAGTATGTCTTTGAAACTGTCTGTAGGGGAATGAAATTCAAATTTCTTATTTAACAGACCTATTACTGAATTAATCTCTTTTCCAACTATTTAAATACAGAAAGGATTTTCCCATTCTACATGTAACTCATTACACATAGCCCTTGGTTACATTTGCAGGACCTAGTGAATTTGCTGGAGTTTCCACGGTGTTGCTGGCATTTGTTTCTGCTATACTTACTTCCATGGGAAAACTTCAGGTGTTCCTCCTTGCTTCTCTTCCTACACATTCTGGATTGTGAAACAGGATGTGTGATAGAAGAAAAGGTAACTACATAATCTATCACTTCTCTTTCGGGACACATGGGCTGTTAGATTTTAGAAGAGAGACCCTTCCTTTCATAATGGCCAGTGCTGTTACCAGTCTGCAACTGGATTTTGACAGGATAAACTGCCCAAGAATTTATCGGTGCTGGTGGTATGGTGTCCAGCAGTGGGAACACCACAAGCCAGCAATTTTAAGGCAACATCCAAGATGGATAACGTTGTTGTTATGACATGCACTGTGTTGTGAAGTTGGTGACCCAGAGAACTGTATTTGAAAGTCATGCGTATGAGTTCAGGTTTTCTTCTGCTTACCAACAGGACATGAAGTTTACAAGGTTGGTTTTTTTTAACAGTTACTATGTCTTAGTGAAGCAATCAGAATCAAAGTTAGCCTTAAGAGTGCTTAGGTCATAGAGTCCTGCCAGCACACACACAAAGGATATCTTATATATGGTGACAAACTGGTAAATTTCTATTTTTAATAGAAGCATAATATATCCTCTGTGAATTTTATTATAAACATATGTTCTCCAAAACTAATGGTACAGTTAACAAACAGCCTTTAAGAAATAGAAGGAGGCTCTCATTGATTCTGCTCTTCCAGGAAAAGAGGAAGTTATCAATAGTCTCTCCCATTTCTAGAACTGCCCCTAGATGAAAGCTAGACAGCATATAATTTTTGCACTATTAACAGTAAAAAACAGATACGTCTTTGGTGGAGAACTGACAAAAAGTGACACCTGTAGCACAGATAAGGGTGATTAATTCAGTGACAAACCTGCACTCATTTCCCTGTGCCAAGATACTGTTTTGAGAACAGGAGACAGAAAGCAAACATATACGAATTCATATATAGAAAATGAAAAGGCTGTCTCTTCATCTCACAGTTTTCCAGTCAGTTTATAATATCCAGATTTTCATTTCTTCAAAGAAGAGAAAACATTGGCTCACTACCGTTAACAACAAACAGTAAGTCACACAGAGTAGAATATAACATTCATGTCTTATTATTTCATATATAAACCTTTACTTTTAAGTGTTATCTAAAATAACATACATGGTTAGCAGACCAAATAGCCCATATAAACTATGCTGAAAATATCATCTTTATTTACAGGAACCTAATTAAAATGAACTTTAATTGCTTTTGAGATCTGCAACAACTTCCTCTCTCAGAGTTGGACTTCAGCCCAGATTAGGCAGAATTTCAAGGAGGAAGATACCCCTCACACACATGAAGAAAGCATTGGCCATGCAAAAATGTGGCTCACCTGCTTCTGGAAGAGCTGGGAAGCAACTTGCAGGCTTATCACTCTGTTCAGGTGTGATGTCATGTTACCTATCCCACCCTTAAGACTTTGTATAATTTCATGCAACCTTTGTTCAAGTGAACTCTAAATTTGCTCCTGGTGGTGTTCTGCCAATACACTGTGAAATTTAGCAAAAAACCTCCTCAGCTTAGACATCCTTTCATTGTGTTTGAGCTTCTACATATATACATTCTCATCATCTTCTAGTACTGCTGGTAATCACAACTACAAGAAATAAGTAAAGAGAAAATCAGAAATATATGACATCATTTTATAGGCACTTCTATAACCATGTAATTCACTGCACAGTTAATTTACCGAATTCCAATATCTGCTTTATAGAAAAACAACTGGCTTGTGTTGTATAAAAATGCTACCTTTGAGACCCAAGAAATCCCACACTGCTTTACCAAGCATGAATTAGATTCCAGAAGAATCATGCCTTGCAAACAGAGCATCCAGTATGCACTCAGAAACAGTTCACACAGAGCCCTAGTATTAGCACTATTAGCCCTTGCTGTTTCGTGATTTAATAAAAATACTCTGCTTCAAAAGAAACAGCTAATCAGATAATCACATTATACTGTATCTCATAAGCTTTGAGCAGTCAAGCTCCCAGAAAAATCACTGAATAAGACAACAGGATTACAGCCTTAATGACTACATGTATTTACCACGAAGCATGGCAAACATTCACACTGAGGTTGCAAGATTATTACATGGTTACCTGTGCTCTATAAAACAGAGATGTCACATTGAACAGATTATAAAATGGTACTGCAGTATTAGATATTATTAGTATGTTATTTTTATTATTATTCATCGTTAACTATGATCAAAACATTAGTACTTCAGTGTAAACACTGTAAAACATATACGTGATTTAACAGATTGAATATTGACAGATTCAAACATTTTGGATCTGTTATCTATCCACAAGATCTAGAAATAAGGCATATGGTCAGCAGAATAGGAGAGTTTAAATAAACAGCCTGAGTGCTTTGCTTTCCTCCCACACACCTTAACTCTGTCAGTTATGCTTCTGGATTCCTCATAGCAAATCTCATCTCTTGAGGAGGTCATACCTGAGGAAGGCTGTTAGCTGGCTGAAACATCATTCTTTTAGTTTTTTCACTTTCCTGTGTACAAAGGAAACAGATAGTGAATAGCTAAAGGGCTTGGTCTTTTTAGAAGTCTTGACAGAGTTTTCTGCTAGGAAGATAACTGTGTGGCCTGAGAGGCTTCATTTGTTCTCGATCGCACACTTATACACAGCTGACACTTTATTCCACTCAGAGGATCTTGACACAAAATTGTAGCACTGATCACATATCTGTGATACAATCTTGACAGTTTTCCCACACAGCCCTGTCAAAACCTCCCATCAGTATCTGTAAACAGAATTAGCAGGGTGGCCACTTAGCAAGCAAGTGCTTTTGCTTTTGCAATCTTACAGCATGGCGCCGTTTCCTTTTGGGCTGAAGGCACTCCTGTCCGTACGACGGCCACTGAAAATTCTGGGGCTGCATTTTGCTGTTCTGACTCTCCACTTCTTCAGAATCAGAGTCATCTTGTTGCATCGAAGGAAAATGCCTGTCTGGATAAATCTCCTTCAGTTTGTCCTCAAAGAATTCATCCAGGCATCGTCCAGCCTCAGCAACCTCTGAATCTGGCTGTAAGAGAATCAATAACTATTTAGTGCTAGTGCACACAGAAATCATCAAGGATCAAAACCAAATAACTAACCTACCCTTTGTCTCGCCTTATTTCTGTCTGCTACATCTCCATTAGTCTCCTGCACACTTTCTACAGACCATTAGTCCCTCTGCATTTTCAGTGTAAGTAAAAACCAGATGCTGCTATCAAGGAACACGTTTCTGCACCTCTAATAAAAAGGGATGTGCAGTGAACTAGAAAGAACAGCAGTCATCATTGCTCAGGAATTTCTACGCACTTGATTTTTCCTAGCTATTTTGCTGGCTATGACTGGCTTCTCACAGCAAACCCAGCAACATTCCAAAGAGTTGTCCACTAAGATGTCCCTTTTTAATTTTAGATGCATATGTATCTCAAGTTCTCAGATTTGACTTCATTTCTGTCATTAAAAAACACCCAACGCAATTTCCAAATAACGAAACTGAATAATACTTCTGTTTATCCCAATCCCATATCTGATTTCCAAAGAACCAGTGTGACAGTTTGAAAGAGCAATCCTCTGCTTTCTATCCCCCCAGCCATGCACACTAGAAACCTACATAATTGAACTTTGCACAGTTCCAAAACATGAGACGCACGTCAGTCACAAGCTCCTCAGGTGCAGCATAGTGGGATTTGTCCTTCTTCTGCAGCTTTTTTCGTATGGTTGACAAATCCATTGGCCTTTTGATGATCTGATAATAATGCCGAGCCTGCGATAAGAATAAAATGCAAGTGTGTAACATTTTTAATTTATTTATTTGTTTTAATTAATTAATTTCTTCTCCAGTGACTTCTATCGAAGTCTGAACAGAAGTCATTGTAGAGGAGTCCTTGCATCAGGGAAGAGGGCTCTAGTTTTTTAATGCCTACACTTGTCTACATTATCTTCCTGAACGCTTTTTGGTTTTATTAAAAACATATTTGCTTGCAAGACTGAAGTTGGAAATAGCACACTTCAGTGTTTACACTCAGTATTTACACTCTGCTATTTGCGCTTTGTAAAGTTTATCCCCAGATATAAATGTCATTGTTTAACCATAATCAATAATATATGCAACACTGGCAATTAGCTAATATTTCCCCCAAGGAATTACAAAAAGAATGTGCTGAGATACTGGCAGCTGATAATGTGGGAAGCAGTCTGTCAAGAGTGACTAAAAACAAGATACCGTGCACTCTCTTAAAAGTTCACCAAGAGTCTTTTTCAATGGGCATTAGCTACCAGGATATCACAGTCTTTAAATCTTTTTTGGTCTAAACCTACTTGTTAGGTAATTTGTTCCATAAGTTCACTGCAACTTTATTAGGTGGAATAGGTTTTTTACCATTATTTGGACTATTCCTTCACATAAAACCTTTATTTTTCCCTTCCCCAATCTGTTTCTCACTGTGTTCTATTGTTACAACACTGTGAACCTCTATCTTCCTTAAAACAGACAGTTTATATTGCAAATGTTGAGTACATGGATGAAACAATATTTTCTACATTTTCCCCTACACACAGTCACATTTCTGGTGTTGTCCACAGAGAGGGTAAAGAGGGAGTCCAGGGTTGTTTCTAAAGCAGGCCTCTCTTACAGCAGTAGAGCATTTTCCATGTACACGGCGAGTCAATTTTTTTAATCACTGTAGCCTATCACATACCTTTAGTATTCTACCAGCATCTTAAATGGGCACCCAAACCTTGCCACCATTTACCTGCCTCCAACCTGATGACTTCAAAGCACTTGCAAGAGGAAAACTTCTACCCTGAGCAATACTGTTCAGAAAAAAACCTCATTAATATCTTTCAAGAAGATAAAGGAGACATTACCAAGGTGTGCCAGAGTATCCTTTGGATTTCCTCTGATCCATGCATGTGCAGTACTTACCAGGGGACTGACAGGTTCATGGAACGGGAGGCTCATATTACTGCAGAACAGGGAAAGCACCAGCTTTTCACACTTCTGTAGGAGCCAGATTTGAAACACATTTTAATGCAAAAGAAGTGAGTTTCATTCTTGTCCTTAGTTAATCAATCATACTAACAACAACAGAATTCTCATGTAGACTGTGCACTTCTGAGGCAAAATGGCACAGTTCACCCTAATCAGGGGGATGTTTTGCCTCATAGCACTTTTATAGCTTTGAAAATAAGGACAGTCAAGAAATGCAGGAAAAGAAACTATGTAAAAAACTTTGTATGCACGTATCTTTTCTGGAAACCCTTGGGAACTAATTGCTATTACTATTTCCTTTCTGCACTTCAGATCTATTTCTTAGCTCTTGACTGAAAGAACAGCAGCAACAGTGTGGAAACAGTTAAATAGGAAATATTTCACACTGTTCATATCCATTCATACAAAGGGATGCAAGTTATGTAGTTGCTAGTACCATATGAAAATTGTTCTGTCTAATCATTGTTAACTTGTAAAATATTTATAATAGTCTTTGGCTTTTTCACTAGTGCAAAAAGAATGCACTACAAAAACATCATAAACCATATTTGCTCACCAACAATGGAATTTTTATTCATCTCAATTATCTAAATGAAACTTCACTACTCAAGATCCAGACCCCAAAAATTTCTGTCCAGCTGTATCAAATCCAGTAAAAAAGGGCATCACATCAGTGTAAAAAAGTTATGTCCAGCTCTGCATGGACAGAGTAGCTCAGGTCTGGAAACAGCATGGATGAATTGAGCAATGCTTGGCTGTGCTCATAGGTCTTGCCAAGGGGCCCCAGTGCTCTGAGAATCACTGCTGTTGTCTTTATGACTGGTGTCCAGATTAGACCAGTGCCTTAAATTAGGCTCCATTTGCACAGGGCCAGCTCAACATCTGCACTCAGCTGTTTGGACTCAGCCTCTCTGTCCAGCCATCAACAATACACACAGGATTTCCACCTATTTGGAAACTTGTGCCTTCCAAGCACAAGTGGACTTTAAGAAAAGGTACTTTTTTCATTTTGGTAGAGGAAACTGGTAATGGGTATGTAAAGGGATAAGCTTTCATCTAGGCTGAATCAACAGCCTAAACATCATGTTCAGGGGAACTAATAGTACACATGAAGACTGTATGATGATTTTGTTCCAAATGAAAGTCAAAAAGGGTCTACATCACAAAAATGTCATTTCACTGGCCCAAGTAGATGTCTCTTGTCTGAGAAGTGCCAAGTCTTAAAGCAAAAAGATTCAGTGTCAGAAAGCCAGGAACAAATTGACTCAGGGAAATTGCTCTGCTGCTGAGTGTGACTTCTCTGTTCAAAGTAGAAAAGAATTCAAGATTTGCCTGTTTCATCTTTCTGTAACATGACATTCATTTTAAAATTGAACAGCAATGCCTAGAAAGAAGAGAATGATATAAATGAATAGTAAAATCACTTTTGTTCTATTTACTACTGTCTGTAACATTTGAGTAGCAACCAAGTCAAAACCGTCATCTTTCCAAAGAAAAGGCAAAGCCTCATGCTGAGATCATATGGCCTTTTCTAAATAGTACAATATACAGTTATTCCCACCTTCTGGTCACAGTCATCAAGGCCATATTGTACATTATAGCTGTGGCTGTAGCGTGTGTTTTCACAGTCATATTCTACCTCAGGCTTCACTGGATTACGGCAAAGGGTGCACACCCACTCTCCTCTGCAAAACAATAAACCAAACACATGCTGATTTTTGGAAGGTCTCATTCTTAACTAGTATTACAATAGTATTACAATAGCAGGCAATCTGAAGCCCATTGAACTAGATGTTCTTCAATGGATTTGAATCCAATTACAAGTGCAGCAATTTCAGGTTCTATTCATGACACTTTTTCTGTCACAAAGGAAAAGAAAAAAGACAAAATTTTAACTGTTTGAAATCATGTACCAGCAGCGTATGCAGCTGCATTGATTCAAGTGTTGCTTTTAAAAAAGCATTAGGGTAAAACAGGCAATAGTTAGGTCATAAGACAAACACAGATCCATTTGATAATTGATGTATTTATCTAAGAAGTCAACATTATCAGAAAAGGTCATAATGTGTGCTAGTACATGGGTTCCCAAACCAAATAGACATAATTCTGCAAGGGTATGTGTGTCCTTTCTAGTAGATCTATTTTCAAAAATCTCTTGAAGAATTTCATGAAGGCAGTGACACAAATTCTGCAACATCAGGGTCTGAATAACTACAGATGAAGATCTATTAAAGAACTGTGAACATATAATTTTAGTTAAGGGAATTAATTTGTTTCATTAGAATTTGGGTTTGCATAGGAAGTTTATTTTAAACACGAAAACTTCGTTTTCACTTTGTTTTGAAACTAGAGCAGTTGAAAATTCCTAGTTTTTTGAACAGAATGAACAAACCACAATCTCCAAACTAGTATCTTGCAACATATTTTTCTCAGCTGAGACAGTTATTTGGGCTTGGCATAAATGAAGTAGCAGCCTTTGGTCCCACTTAATAAAGATTTATAAGAGAATTCAGAATTGTACACCAACAGTAACGCACTACCTTTTAAAGTCTGGAGTTTGGTATGTGGACGTATATCTATTTCTGGCTCATTGCACACAATTAATCTGTGACAATTCGCTAGACAACATATCTTAGGGAAACCAATGTCCTAAACGTTTCTAACATAAGCCCTGATAATCCTAAATTTCCCATAAAATTGACTAGAAAACTGAATAGAAATTCACTGGTTGCCTTTTTCTGGGGCTAGTCTCTGTTTTTGGAGAGAAGAGCTGATGTCTACACTTCAGATGTTACATGAGAATTAGGATTTTATTTTTCTCCAGTGAGTCACATGAAAGTCTCAGGTCTGCAACCTCCTTTGTTGTACTGGCCAGTTAACTGCAGAAAGGGCACACATGGCTGGAAACAATTCTTGTTCATAATTCATCTAGTTCCTAGTGTGTAAGACAATTCTTCCCTTTGCAAGAAAAGCATCAAAAAGGACAAGTGAGAGATGCAGTACAAGGCTGACACATACATCCCTGAGGATATATTTTGCCCCAAGGCAGTGAGTAGGAACAGCACATTAGTGAAATGTCATACATACACTGGAAAGCTGAGCAGGGCTGGAACATGGCAGGAGAGATGGAAGACCTTGGGGCAGTGATCGCAGCACAACAGTTCTCCTCCATTAAGACACACAGCACAGAAATCCTCATTTTCAATTGGGCTGACTTCCTGAGTAACTGGAGATTTTTTCATGCTGGAGATGCCATTGCTGAGCTTCTGATCAACAGACAGAGCATCTACAGGGGGAGATGGTGTCTGTCCTGCAGCCTGGGATATGAGAAATTTCCTGTCCTCTGAGTTTTCCTCTTTGGACTGCAGTCTTTCAGGTGGACTATCTTTATTTATCTTGAAGGAAGAAAAATCTGGGATCACACAATCATCATTTTCATGTATCAGCATACAACAGCAGTGGTTATCTGCAGACAAAGTGATTTCTCTGCAGTGAACTCTACTGGAGAGGGCACTGGGGTTCAGCAGGCCCATGCTCAGCTCGGGATCTGCTGCTGGCTGGCCAGGTCACTTTGGTCAAGTCATTTCCTCCACATACCAAGGTGTAATAACACTATGAGAGCTGCACAGGTTCCATACCAAGGGTGATAGAAACAGAATACTCTACAATGGTATTTGCAAATTTTACAGTAAACAGCTCAAAAACTCCCACAAAAAGCCACAAATCCCTCAACCAAACAACAAACAAACAAACAAGAAAAACCTACCAAAAACAAAAAAACAAAAACAGTATAGGTTTTCGATCCCACCAGAAATTCCTCTTTCCTCTCCTCTGTGGAGAGAAGCTTATGCTCAAGACTCCAAAGAAGCAATTGAATACAAGACTTTTAAAAATCTATTACACTGTGATTTCTGGGATTGGTTCCTATAACTCAAATATACATTCAAGTCAGTTTTAAGCTATTTGTCCTATATTTGTAACCAGACAGGTAAGCCAAGCTGCTTGCTAGAGTATAAAAACACTACAGCTACCCAATCCCAGAGACAGACTTCTCAGAAATGGAAGTATCAGGGAGCTACACAGCAAACTAAAAGCAGCATTGCCTATTACCTCAACCCATCACAGAAGTATCCCAAGATGAAACAAATCAACAAACTTGTTTACTGTATAATAACTCTCAGAACTGTGGGTACAAACCAGTAGGATACAGGGGAGAAGGCAAGTCAAGCCTCCAGGCAATTCTACTCACCTTTATAGACATACTTGAAGACCGTGTCCCACATTCAATTACGAGGAGGAAATTGCCCTCCTGCTCATTGTCCTGTGGCTGGAGCTTAAACACCGGCAGCTCCCCCACTTCTGATGCGCATATTTTCAGGCGTTCCAGTCGCACAAAGGGAATCTTCTGCTCCTTCGGGCCAGCTCTGTAGTCAAAAGGACACATGGCTGAATTCGGCTACATTCCACAAAATTCTGCCCACTCAGTTTCAATACTTTTCACGTGCTATTATTTGTGCTCCTTTCCCTTTGCAGCTGTGACTCTGCTGGCTAAATGCTGAAAATCTGGACACTTTTTAACAAGCCAATTCTTTAAGAAATGTGAATTCGATCACTTCAATCATATGTGTAAATGCACTACTAACTTCTGTGCTAAACTTTTGCCCTGTTCCTTATATTTTTGTTTTAATTATCCCAATTTATGCCATATTTGATACTTTTAAGTGTGATTGGCTTCAAGTAGGAACACAGCATATCATCAACTTTACTTGAACATATTATCACAGCAGTAGCTGAAAACAAAATCTTATAAAATTATTGAGACAGTCCTGTTCCCATCATATCTTTTAGTTTTAATTTAGGCTTAACAGGTTTTAATTATCCAAGTGAGATAAGTTTGCAAGTATTTATTCATTCTGGAAAATTACTCAGAATAACAGAAATACATGAATTCACCACTTCTTTTTAATTGTTGTTTTCAAGTTTAAGAGAGCAATTTACAACTTTCAGAACTATTATCTATAAGGAATCTAGTATTCTTTTTAAGTTCTCCATTATCATTAAGTATGACAAATTTTCAAAATACATGCATAAAATTTCACGGCCAGTGATTTCATATAAAAAAGACTTCTCTACCTGACATTCTGATTGCTTTTCATATCCATTTCAAAATGTTCCTTTTCACAGTCATTGGAATCTGGAACAGAAGATAAGAAAACGAATAAAATATTTATAATATCACAGGCAGATTAGGGTAGAAAGTACTTCAATATTCATGTACTTCTGTCTGGTGTTTAATATGATATCATAAGTGAATTATGGAATTGTTTCATCTATATGTATAGAAAATGTGTATGCTATTTTCTCTTCTGATACAGAGCTTTTGTCTTTCTTTTTTGCTTTTAACCACAGCTTCTGTATGAAACACGAGGAGCCTTTACAAAATATTTTGTCGCAATGGTTTCATTCCCAGGGAATTATATATGTACACAGCCATGTCACATTCATCCATATACATGGAACAACATAAGTAATCCTCTTTGCTGTACAGCCTGCACTTGAGAAAAACAGACCTACTGAGGTCTGAACCCCTGAGGCTCAGGAAGTCTCTGTAGTCTACAGCCCCATGCTAAGAAGCTTCTGGCTAATTCTTGAAAACAGGAAGAAAATTGTGTCTCCCATCTGCCACCGAGGGACAAAAGTTACACTATAATTCCTTTCTATCCAACGTCTGTAACTATAAACACATGAGCTCAAAACTATCTGTTATATAAGCATACAAGTAGTTGTAGCTCTTGACTAATACCAGACACAAGAGTAATAAAACAACTTCAGGGAGTTGGGACAGCGTAGAGATGAACGCCCCAGTGGATGTCCTCATAGACCAGTCCACTGACAAATGTCATAGTAATGCCTTCCTTTGCTAGGAATTGGTTTGACATAGCCAATACTAACAGGAAACAAACCTAATATCATGGTTATCTGGAGACAAGTGAGGGCCAGGAAAACACGCCTTCTAAAAGAAAATCTAGCTTGGGTCAACTGTACCTAACCCACGGCTTGAATGCAATGTGCCTGTAAGGATAGTCTGTTATTTCCAGCCACAGGAAACACAATACAAGACTGACAAGGAAAGGTGCATTTTACAATCACACCTAAGGCATTATTCACTTGTGATTGTTGCTCAGGTGAAAGACAGACAGAATTACTAAAGAGTGACTGCACACTGAGGCAGGGTCAGCTCTTGTTGCACATTGTGAAACCAGAAGATGTTCCACTGGTTCTGGATTGCTATATTAACTAACATTTCCATCAGCAACTTGGCCCATAAAATAATAGTACTTATAAAATTTGTGGAAAACGCCAAACTAAAGGGGTTGCAAACACTGTTAAAAATAGACCTTAATACATCAGAGAAAGAAAATCTCCCAAATCAATAAGACTGAATTAACTGTATTATGCTTATAAAGGATCAGATTAATGTAATTGCAAAGGAAAATAACTGACTAGGGAACTGCTCCGTAGAAGGAAGTTAACGTGGACTTCTCACCACAAGCAAGTCAACCCTCTAATGCTGCTAGCTGCAAAAGAGAGGAATGCCATCTTGCAGCTTATTACCAGCAGCAAGGAATGTAAAAAAAAAAGAAGCTGATACCCTGGCTCTGCATGGCACCCCAGAGGCCTCAGCTGCAGCACTGCGTTTGGCTGTGGGCAGCACTCCTTAATTGCAGAGAACCCAAAATAGCACAGCAGGAATGATGTGGTTTTGAAAAATCAAACTCCTGACCCATGAGGAGAGATTGAAACCATCAGAATTGTTTAGTCTAGGAAAGAGAAGGGGAGGGGAGGGTGTTTATGCAAGCTATGATAAGAAGTGGCTGTAAGAGGGAAAATGATGAAATTATGTACAATTTTCACCACATCCCTTGTGGCTAGGATAAGAAGTATTTTGTTTTAAATTAGGCTGAAATGTTTAGGTTAGGTTTGATATCAGAAAAGGATGAGTCACTGGAGATATATACCAGAAGGAATGGGGTTTGGCAGCACAGCACCACTGAAGCCAGAAAGTCCTACCGAGAGCCACCAGCAGAGATAACCTTGCCTTTGCAACAGAATTCATCTCTCCCACTGCATATGGTGACTGTATCTCCTCAGGTCTCTCCTCAGTGCACACCATTAAACAGGCACAGCAGGATGGGAACTGCTCCCTCCTGATCCTTCCTTGTGAAGAGGGAGCAGCACTGAACTCAACACGCTAGGCTTTCCATCCTATTGCACAACAGGGCCTGTGCTTTGTACAGAGCAAATCTGTAGCATCTGTTATAGACAGTGAGGTTCAGTACGCTGGGGCTGCTTTCAGGGTGCAGTGTCACACGACCCAGACCAGATATTAGAAAGCTGCTCCTCTTGGAGACACTTCAGCCTGACCGAGACACAGCTTTTTGGGGGTGTACGTGATTCTTACACAAATAACTGTGGCATAATTGTAACAATTTGGCAGAGGACATAGAAGAGAAGACAAATACATTTCCTTGGCTCACTGAGCTAGGCCTCCTTTGTACTAATTAGTGTTCTCTGAATAAAAGTATAGCACTGAGATAGAAATATTAATTCATCTTTTATAGAGAAAAGCAGCCAAATGTTGGCATAAGTCACGGGATAACAGCTTGATCCTGCAATCCCTTGCTTGCATGAGTAGTTCCATTGACTTTCAGAGTTTGCAGGAATGAGGCTTTACAGTGTAGCACAATGATGTTGGCAATTTGCCCATGAAAAGAGTTAAGTAAAGCCTAATTCTCCATTAAGGCTGAAGAAATAGGTCTTGGCTGAAGGGAATGTTCCACAACAGAGAGAGCCAAGCAAAAGCACACACCGTGCAATATATTAACAAAAATTTGGTATGCTACTGATGTGAAGGTCTTAGCAGAAGGCACGTTACATTTGGGAAGTAATTTTTTTTTTTAATTGAATTTGGACCCTTCAAACCAGCTCTTCAATAGTCATAACTGCAGGTCTCATTAACAGGAGTGCTTCTAAGAGAACTAATACTCCAGGTACTTCACACAGACACACTCGTTTCTGTTTTACAGATGAAGGATGTTACAAATTCAAAGCATATCATTTCCGTGTTTTTTTCCTCCATAGATGAGATCAAACACACTTTTCCATTGGATTAAGTACTCTGATAAAATTTGAAGCTTGCTAGAAAGAACATTTGCATGTAAGTACACTAATAAGCATACTGCTTTGCAATGCTTGCAATGCACAGTGCTAAGAAAGAAAGACCAAAAAAAACCTAAATGAAATAATTAAAAGCCTTGTACCTTCTTCGCTTCTAAGTTGTCTCATTCTGGCATTCACAGGCAGGAAAACAGTGTTGCTGAGCAGCTCAGAAGGAGAAGTGCAATGTTGAGATTTTTTGATTGAAAGATTAATAGGTTCTTCCATCACTTTTTGCATAGAAAGAGTTAATTCATTAACTACATCTTGCCCAGCAGTAGCCAAGCTGTTTTCTAGAAGACAGTCTACAGTACTGAAGTCTTCATTTTCCAGCTTCGGGAGGTGGGGGGGTGAGGGTTAGAAAAAAATACCACATTTTATTATTAGTTTTCTTTCTTTCCATTTTAAGAAAATAATTTTTAATCAGTCTTCAAAAACTAGATAAGGAAAACTTTACTTACTGAAAAAGCTATCTTTGACTGATTGACTAACAGTAACATGTGCTGTAAATGAAAGTGGATTCCCTCTCAGTAGAGGAGTTCGAGCCATTCCTACCTTGCATTTGGTGCTGCCCTGCAGTGCATCAACTGGGGTGAAGCCAGCAGGATTCCCAGGGCTCAGGTCACTTGGAGCCCTGCCCAATGCCAGGTTGTAGCTGGGCACTGGTTCTGGTGGAGCATCACAGTCACAAAGGGCATTTAGGGACGGGTCAAGTGTTACAGCAGCTGCACCTTTCACCTGTGGATCAGCCGAGCTAGAAAGCCTTGTTGGAGGTAATTCCATTTCCAAACCGTTTGAAAAGCCCACGATGCTTAAGGATGCTGAATGCTGGGAAAAGCAAATAGGAAAAAAAACCCAATATATTAATAAACCGTTCAGCACCAAAATGCTACTTTGCTGTCTATAATAGATGAGATACTCTGTTTCAGCTAGACATAATCAAACAGTTAAGTAAGAGGGCTGTAAGAAGCTGTCATAATCCCATACTATTCCCAAAAGTTTTAGATTTTCCACCATTGAAACTGAAAACTGGAAAAGGCGATAAACTAGGTTACCCTTCTGTGATTTACGAAGAGTGTCTTCCTTAGCTCATCCAAGGGATCCTGATTTTTAATTCCTACAATGACTGGGAAATCTAAGCATGTAGAATTCCATACCAAATAGAACCTTGATACAAACACTATTACCTTCCATTAAGTTATTCTGGAAGAAATAAGATTCAAATCAGAAATTTTATCATTTTATAAAATAACTTTAAATCACTTTATTCAGAAAGAAGATTCAGAATAAATAAGCACCAAATATGAAATAAGTGGATGAAGCAATTGTTTCTTTTCATGATGCTGAAAACTTTATGCTACTTAGTGAGTCTGTCCCATTAAAACCAAAGGCATTTTCTCTTTAAATATTACAGTGTAAATCCAGAAACACCCCACCTGTACTAATGAGGAAAGGATGTACATGTCTAGTTTTCAAAGAAAGGGAATATTTACCAAAGTCTCAATATGCATTTTCTACTGCCTCATGATTTGTCGCTATCAAATCCACAGAGATAGTGTTATGCAAACCAAAGCAAATCCACCCATCTAGGTGACTTCCTTAAGCTGTCTTACATCCTGGAATGTGTGACTGTATTGAAAACAAGACTCTTGCAGCATCCATATGCAGTAAACATAAGCATTCTTAAGTATGCAGATCTGTGTCATTTGAATATGCAATTTTTCCTTTATTTTATCATAGTTCATTGCTGTTTCACCCTTGATAATTGACTGAATATGTCCTTTTCATGTGACTGCAATACAGTAAGTAGCATTCATTGTAATATAAATCAAGGCAATAGAAATGTGTTGATTGCATCTGAATTAGAGTTTAAATTCATTGTTGCACTTATTTTTCTGCTAGAGGCCTGCAACTTAGAAGTGAATCTGAGACAGGACCCATTTCCTAGATTTGATTAGTATTTTTCTCAAGTTATACACCATTTTGGATTTGATACCTTTGTCCATCTTACCCCACAGTGGTGAAGACAGCAGACTAGACTGAGCTGTCAGTTGTGCCTGTGTAAACTCTACATAATGTCAAAGTCAGTCTCTCAATTCCTCTGCTTGCAATGCACATCAACTATGTGCTAAGAGGACACTCTGCCCAGACACTAATTTCCACCTAAGGATGTAGTTTAGTCTCTTTTTTGTCAATTTGCAGTAGATGCCACAGTGGGAGCTTTGCCTGAACAGTAGCCACTTAATTCAATGAGACAAAATAGCCTGCAGTTGAGACAAAAAAAGAGGTTAGCTCTTCTGCAGTGCTAGGGAAGGTTTGTGCCATTCTACCACACAGTGCTCCAGTGAGTCTGCTTTAAACAGTCCCTCCATGTAGAAGGCATCCCAGAGAGTACTGGATTTCTGCAGCCAGGGTGTTGGTCATTTTCCTCCTCTTGAGTCAAATGAATTTAAGCTGCCTGAGATATAATAACTTTTTGGAAGTAGCTGGAACTTGTCAAAGTTTGAGCTGAAAACTAGAATACCTCAAATGAAGAAATGCCTTGGTGGAGGCACAATTTGCCATATATTCTGTCTGATAGAACATTCCTAAAAATAATGAGGTTTCTACCCAAAGTTATATATGTAGGTCAGAAAGGAATCCAGCTTTCATGGCCACACCTCCTAAAGAAGTCCACAAAGATCAAAAGTGTTTACTTGATGTCATAGTTTGCTTGTGAGAGGTACCCTCACATGCAATGATAAATGTGGCCTATCAAGTCCACATTTTCCTTTTCATTCCATCCCTCTTTTTATCACAAGTCTCTTTCAGATGACAAAATAAACACGTGAATTGTTCCCACATCACTTACAAAAAATAAAATAAGTAGAATTCGTGCTTGAACCGAACAGATGAACTGCAACCAGCCTTGCCTTTCCCCCTCATTTCAAAGTCCACAGTGAGCATCAATTAAATCCCTGTGAGGCAGTTAAATATTTATTTAATCATGTTCTCCAAAGCATGAAGCATCCACAAATTCCTGTCTGAGTCAAGAGGAACTACCTAACGCTGTGCTCCACTGGAAATGGGCACGCTGAGGCACACAAGTGGCAGGTACACCACCCAAAGCTCATAGCAAGTGAACTGGAGACCTTCTGGCCATTCACCACTTCTAATCACTGCACACACCTTCCTTCACTCCTTCATGAGCACGTGCCATCATCTATCACGTATTGAGACCTGACCCTGTGAAAATCCTCCGTGTGTAGCTGTGTACACCTCAGGTGAGATGTCAGCCCCACTAAGGCAATGGTGGGATTAGTCCTGGCTTCAGTGACACAAGTTTACTTACTGAGAGTAGTCGCTGGCATGACTCCTACTAAGAAAAAAAACAGAAAAAAGAAAAACAGACACGCACATAGGAATTTTCTCACAGCTAAAATTTTCAGGAAGGTGAAATTCAATTACATGATCTGGCTACATCCTTTTTACTCTTCTAGGTAGCATCAGTTTCTTCAGAGATCTTTTTAGATTATATAAGCCAATATAAAACCTTACTCTTGCTAAAAAGAAAAAAGAATAATGAGGCCATCAAATTGCCATCTGTCTTTCCCTTGGGGCAAAAGTTAATTTTGTGGTTATTTTAATGATGAAGCAACATTATGATCTTTCAGTGCAAAATATTAAAACTCACAGTTAAGAACAGACACATTCCATCCTGATCCATGGAGCTGCTGTCAAGTGTGAAGTGAACAATGCACTGGGAACAAGGTTCATTAATAGTCTATTAATTCACTCCCTAAAATAATCATTTCTTTTGCCATTAGCAAAAATTTCTCTTTTCCCTTGACAGTTCAGCTAGTTTTTGCAAGTGGGATGCCTTTAAAGAATTTATCTCTATTTTATAAAAGCTCTATTGCTTTTACAATGCACCATTTGAACAACAACAAGCATTAATTATGCTCTTGGGTAGAGGGTGGCTTCAGCTGTAGGTTAATTTTGAACTTTTTGACATTTTAATGTACAGCCTGGCACACTGAACTACATCTGTGACATTATAAATGGAATTCTCACTGTCTCATAATTAATTTTGGTTTGATGATCCTTATAATATAATGGCAGCAGCATCACTACCCCAAAATGCCTTCTACCACAAATTTCTTAGCTATGGTAGTGAAAGGTAAGAAGAAAGAACATGCAAAGTGCCTTCAGAGAACAAAAAATAAACACATGGTTCAGTTCAAATATTTCTTTGATCGCTGTTGCATTTAAAAAGGTCCAGTGTAAACATGCAGCACTAATACAGAAGAATTCTGAGAAGCAAATACTTACCTTGAAACAGTGGGATTAGGATTTGTTAGGATTGTTTTGGCAAAGTCTCAAGGCTGTTGACATTAAGTGTCACAGATAAAGAAAGCTAAAACTAGGAACCGCCAATTCTCTTTGCTATAAGAGAAATAACACGCTGCAAATGGTTGCAGAGTAATGAACGGCTGCTATTAAGTGGAGCAATCCCCCTGGCAGCTCATTATGCTGGAAGGTTAAACAAATGTACTACTCCAATCCAGTTGCTTAACTCACCGAGCACAGCAGCACTGATAACACAGGCTACACATGCTTCCTATTCGTATTTTCCAGTTTCAGAACAGAATCCAAAGGATTTCCTTTCTGTTTTCACGAGTAAAAGAATCCAAATCTTCCTTCACAGTTTGTCTGAATAAACTGGAGCTGGCTTAAAGCAGAAGGAGGAAGAGATTGTACGGAGCAAGCAGCATCATGTTTTATTTATCTTTTTTTTTCAGGTCAGAGGAAAAAGGTTTTGTAAAACTAACATTCTGGGAAATGTACCTAATTGCATTAAGCATGAACATATTTATGCTGTAAACATCTCAATTCTGTAAAGTAAAAAACATAATCTGTTTCTCCAGAAATTTGTAGCACACTTAATTCCAGGCTCTTATTATTTCCTTCATCACTAATTCCCCTATAATTAATAGTAATTAGGGCCCAAAAAATAGCAAGAACAAACCCACTTTGGTCCCAAGCTCAGACTTGAAGTTCTAGGGTTGGATATTAAATTATAATTACTTCAATCACTAAGTAATCACAACATGCTCTGTGCAATACTAACAAAAAATAAAACCTCTACTCTGTCTGTCAACCTCTCTTCCACAAATTGCACGTTTTTAAAGAAAAAAGAAAACAAACAAACAAACCAACCAAACACAGTAGTTCAGTTAAACTATTGCCACCGAGATGGAAGAGGTGTCATTAATAAAGCTTAGGACAAATGTGTTGGGGCAAAATACCCAAAAATGCCAACAGCAGACCAAAGTGAATTGTTCTGTCTGACAATCCTGTAGTAACAGTGGTATTGGCATGTCAGAGACTAGAAATTCACGTGCATCAAGTCTGAACAGAGGCTGAGAGGTTCCACCACAAACTGTCACTATGTCAGTCTTGCATGAAATGCCACCACTGCATATAACTGGAATAAAACAGAAGCCTCTCAGAGTGCTCTGAAGATTGCTCCTTGGATGGTATGGAATATTCTAGGAATTCCCCATTTCAGGTGCTTTATGGTGTTTGAGACAAATGGAGCTCCTGAACTAAGAAGCTGGGACTTATTGCGAATCAAAAAAAATAATACAAAAATCAGCCTTATAGCACTCTACAACATTTCCATGTAATTACACTTTCAATACTATTTCTGGTCACCCTGTCTCAAAAATAATTTACAAAAAACACAAAGTATAGGGAAAATGGCCAAATATATAAAGGACCAAAGTATAGAATGGCTTTTATGAAAGAAAATCCCGACTCTAGAGAGGTAAGCGATCACTTTTCAGTTTCAAAAAGAAATTTTGAGAGTAAATTCAATATAGACCTATCCAATACTGATATTGTGAAGGTTGTGAATACAGAGTGATTATTCACTGGTTTTCCTAAGAACTAGAAGGCATCTGCCTGAACTATCAGGAAACAGACTTAAAGTAAGCAAACAGAGGAACTTAAGCAATGTTGTAGAATGCTGCAGAGACCAATAGTATTAAAATGGACTCAAAAAATGGATTAGAAAAATTCACAGAGGGCAGGTCCATGAAGAGCTCCAAAACACAATTCTGTTGGTACAACCTTCAGGTCAGAAAGTCCCTAAAGTGCTGGTTTTCAGAAGATGGGATTGTTTATCATCAGTTTATATTTGCCTGTTTCTTACACCCTTTCCTAAGTATCTACTATTGGCTACAGCTATGAATGATCTGTGCAACTCTTCAGTAATAACTTACTAATACAGTGCATGACATATTCAGAGGTTCACTTTAAGCAGAAGGTGAACTAACAGCTCAAGGGAACAGCTAAGGAACTCAAAGGAGCTCAAAAATTTCTAAGGAACATAACCAAACCTGAGTTTGCTAAACGCAAATTGCAAATGCCCAATCTACTCACAAGTAAGCAGTGTCCCAGAAGGCAGAACCACACCCAAAGTTTTTAGGATTAGTGGGGAGGGTATAGAATGTTCCACTACCCACGGCCTGACTCAACAGCTGTAAGACAAGGAATCCTCCCTCCCAGAAGTAAAGGTCTTGCTCCCAACTACAGAAAGGGGTGCACTTATGGAGTCTGAGGAGGAGAGATGTCCAGCTGGCCCTGCAACAACACCAACGTTTGTTGCAGCAGTACCTGAGGCTCAAACTACAAATTTGTGCTACAAATGTACAGCAATTGTGTCATTTCTTCAAACACTAGGTACAGCCTTTAGACCTCTTGCCCATCACAACCAGAAATGACAATTAGGTACACACAAACAAAACAGAGATTGTATTCCCTCTATTACTCCTGAAAACACAATTAGGCTCAAAATATCTTATTATTCTCTCCTCTGTTCCATATTAGATGACCTCTCCAGTCCTGTGTTCAAATTAACAACTCAATATCATACTATGTAAAAGCAACAAGAGGACCATATCATTGCAGAAGGTTGGTAACCCCTACCACAAAACTGTTAATCTAATTGAGTACTCATTCCTTCACACTGCAACATAGCAATTCAACAGCTTGTGTAAAACCTGTTTGCTAGAGCTTGGCACAATTCCCTGGAACTGAAGTGCAGGTATCACCGAAGCTATTCTGAAATTTGTTCTCTGTCTTGCTGGCATTCTTACTGGAGAGGTTGGGTATTTGACAGGCGTAGAGATGGAACAACTCTACAGTCCAAAACAGAGGTCCTGGCTACATGATTGAAGTATACCGGGACCATGAAGAGAAAATTATATCCATTTTGTACATGGACAGAAAAATTTCTTTTCTAGTGTTGTGCTCTTAAAAGGTGCTAATCAAGCCCAAAATTATGCTAAGTGCAGTACTTACATCAAACAATCAATGGTCAAAGTATAGAAACATTTATTCTGCACAAAAAATTAATTCACAGAGAAAGAATAGTTAGAAGAATACACAGAAAGACAGAAAGGCTGACAAATATCACCATTAATGCTCCAAAACCAGTGAAACATATGAAAACACTCCCATTGACAATTGAAGTTACACGTTTAGAGGTTATATTATTCACATGCATACAGAGCAGGTAGGCACAGACAGGAATTTCTCTGAACTTCGAGACTGCAGTAGCCTTGGTGACAATATCTGTGTTTGACACCAGCTAGTAAACTCTATTTTGTACAATTGGAAAGCCAAAACCCTGCTCAGCGAAGCCAGATTTAATTTCTGCCCTTATAGGTGGTGAAATGTAACACACGGGGACATTTTACAAATGTGCGAAGTGTTTCATCCTTGTTTTTCTACTTCTGCTTATCAATAATCAGCTTTAAATGTGAGGAAAAGAAAACAGTACTTATCAGAATAACTTGAACAGGTGCTCTTGGAACTCAAAAGCTGTCACATGGCACATGAGTGCCTCACACCACTAGTACTTTTTCGGAATGATCTGAATCATCTACTCATGATTTCCCTGTTTATTAGTAATGTGGTGATCCCAAACTATTATTAGCATCCACTCCATATTATTTCACACATAAATATAATCCTGTATCCAGATAATTTATCTAGTTAATCAGTCAATAATATCAAATGCATACCATAAACATGTTTCTAAGTTTATGCATAGATTTTTAATTGCATGCATAATCAAGCCTTGCCCCACTCCAAAACAAAGGAAACCACTGGGCTAAAGAAAGCTTTTATTTTTTATTTTTTTTTTGACAGATCACTAAACAGTTAATTCAGGTACACACTGCTTTCTCTTTAATGAAAGGATCTCAGCAGACAGAGAATTACCTACTCCATTAGGAATGCTGCACTCAACTGAAGGCTGTCAGAGTTCAGCAGAACTGCAACATGAGGCCAAAAGTCCAACACCAATTATTCTCCAAAAGACAGAACACAGTTCTTCTTCAGGTAGCAAAAGGCTTATCTAGCCATTTTCTCTACCATATGTGTCAAGTGCAGTGTTTCAGACTTGTCCACATTCACTATTTCCATGTCCTCCAAGAACTTGAGAGAGATGAAATGTTCTGAATACAGGCCATATGAGAGTAAATGGTCAAACACCTATGCAGAAATTTTTGTCTGGAGAGGACTGTGAAAAATATTTAATCGGGTGAAACAGAGATGAGAATGAATAGATACATTCCCTTGTTCTTAAACAGGAACCAATCTCCCATTTAAACCTAGATTTAATCCAATTGTCAGCAAAAGCAGTCAGACATCTTTAAACAACATTCATAAAGATTATATCTCAAGGGTTTCCTTACTGTGCTGTTTCCCTTCATCATTTCTAATTCAGCATAGCCAGAGCTGTCAGTACATTACATCTTCATCCCAAACAGCTCATTAGAAGAAATAAATGCAAGGAAAGATGGGGTGCTGTAGCTGTTGAATGTTCTCATTTCTTGCAGAGGTACCAGAAAACTAGCCAAAAAAACCCAGACATCCCTGTGCTTTCTGAAAGCACAAGAGCACACACTTCCCAGCACCTCTAGAAAAAATTCTTTTCTTTTCCTCTAGGAATATCCTCCTCTTGCCACCTCAACTTCTGCAGCAGCAACTCAGCCCTTCTTCCTTTATTACTCTTTCTTTCCCATCAGACTATACCTCTCTCTCTCTCTTTCTCTCTCTCTCACACATCTACTTTCATTTTCTTCCCCCTTTCTGACTTTTCTTGTTTAAGGTGTTGGGAATAACCTTCTATTACAGGTCCAGAAGACAAAGGACAGCTTCTTTAACTTCTGAAAGTTACTTGGGTAGCATCACCATTCACTTTCACAAATAAATTTGAGGACATGTCTACATTACACGAAAAGTATTAGCTCAGGTTCATGGTCTTACTCAGGTCCTAAATACACATCTTCAGTTTTTACAGTCAGATCCTAAAGTAAAGGTAGCCATATCCTAGAAAATCCACATAGCTTTCCTCAGTCCTGTGTTGTATCCTCAGAGGTTCACATGTGAAAGTTCAGAGCCAAAGACCATCATCTCAGAATCTTGTGACACCATCAGCCTGATCCAGAAATTCCATCACATTTACAGGATTAAGTGAGAAATTGCAGATTTCTTTGTGGCTTTCAAATTTGATTTGCATGCTGCTTTCAGGCCCTCAATAATCATTACCTTTCCATGTCTCTACAACTCCCAAGGGGATCTCCAACAATTCTCTGAGTGGGTATTGCATCATAAATATGTTGAGTTAACAAAGTTACATACTAAAGAAGGAAAAATAATTTCCTTTTTGAGGCTGGTAAGGAAAGACAAGTACTTCCACAATATTCCACACACAAATTCCAAGAGAAAATATCCATGAAAGACTTCTACATGGAATGCAAAACAAGCCATGCACAGAAGTAACAAACAGATTTGAGCAACCAGAACATAATGTGCTGTTTGGTGTGTTCTAAACAAACTGTACAGAGAAGTAAAAGGCAGATTCTCTGTTTCAAATGCACAGGTGATACCCAGAGCCAGCAAGGATCTACTGATAAGGATTAGCCCTCCTAGTTTTGTTCATGCTGCTTCTTCAATAGTCAGGGCCTCACAGCTGGTGGAAGGATGAAAGCCTGGCTCTATTATGTACTAAAATATTCTAGAGATACATAAACTATGATATTTCTGCTTATATACAAACAAAAAGAAGAAGTACAATGGAATTACATCCCTTTCAGACAACACACCTTCAGTAATAACTAGTGTTGTTACTTCCAGGGTAACTATTTTGCAGGGTGTTTCTCAGGCCTGATTCCATCAGCATCTCTGACTTTTTTATTTCCCTCCAAATTAACTGCTGCTACTATGCTAGTTAGCAAGTCCTAATAGTTAAATCCCTAGAGATACAGGCTGGACAGAATTTAAGCAGTGAAGAAAGAGAGGTTCTATTTATTTACCAGTTCATGCTTAACAATCATGTCAGCCAGATCTAAACACTATCAGCTTATAAAAGATTTGCTAATTCTGGCTACAGCCCAGTGTGTAGGCACCTTCACAGGGAGATGCACACAAGGTTAGGCTGTGAATGTCTTCCATGTTGTTGACTTCTACTGTATTTTAATTTTTTCCACCTGATTGCGAACTCCAATGCCCAATTATATTCAATATTATCAAATAATGTTTTCTCTTTTTAAATTTTGTTTTTTAAAAAAAGTTCTTTATACCTTTCTGACTGGATGGAAAGCTGATTGCTGGAGTGTGCTTGCAGGGGAGAGACTGCTGACACTGGCTTCTTCATCTAGTGACTGTGACAGGGAGGGACTATCACTTTTGTCAAGAGAAATGGCAGGCTTCTGGGCATCAGGTTCTGTGGAGCTCTCAGAGACCTACAAATCACAATTAAGATTTGGTGCTTTCAACATAGAAAGAAAAGTGGCAATAAATTTAGACCAATTCACAGCATACACATTATGACAAGCCCGAACAGACTCTACAACAACAGAGATGTTTGAAGTAACCGTAAGTAGAAAATGAATAGAGAAAGATTTCTCTCAAACATTAACAAATTATTAGAAAAAAAGAAAAAAAAGAAGAGTTGAAATGGAGAATGAGACTACTGCAGTCCTGCAGTTTCCTGTTTACTATGAAGTAAGGAGGAATGATGGTGCTTTTATTCTCCCATATGCTGCTCAACATGTCTATTTAGAGTTTCAGACCTTTGGGATCCAGGTTCTTTATGCAGCACTTTACAGAAAATTTTGGCCCAATCTGCATGAGGCATAAAGCCTCTGCTGCATACATAGAAAAGACAACAATAGAAAGTTCAAACAAATACAAGAAATGTCAAAGGTGTCTCCCATTCTGAGCTTACATTGACTAAACACAATAGGAAAGAATTTTTAGAGAACTTACATGTGCTTCATCCTGGCTTTGTTGCTGCACTGGGGCTGGCTGCCTTACTATGTAGTTGATTTGACCAACTATGGTCTGTTGAACGTGCTGAGGTGGCTTGGCTTGGTTCAGCTGCAAGCTGGACTGTCCCTGGGCCTGAAGAAGAAGTTCCAGATCCTTTTTCATCTCTTCCAGTTCAAACTGGTGGTGCATGATGTCCAGGCTCTGTTGGATGACTTGCTTGTGGGTGCTCTCACTCTGACCCGATGGTGGTGATGGCAGAGGCAGCTGCTGCTGCTGTGGGGGCGGCTGCAGCGAGTGGCGGCTGCAGCGAGTGGTTGGATTTTATCTTCTGGAGGTGACCGAGTTGCGCTTGCCCAGCCGATGCCTGCAGAGAAGCCTGCGTGCGGAACGGCTGTGGGTGGCTCGGGTGAACTTGCTGAGCCTCATGGGACACAACAGCATAACCCAGGGGTGCAGTTTGCTGCAGCTGCTGGGGTGGTAAGTGCTTCCCCATCCTCCCAGATGCATTCTCCGGCTCGGACCGCGACTGCTGTTCCAGCCCTGACTGCGTCAGCTTCACGGGCTGGGGGGCACCCCTTTGCTCTTTGTCATGTTGCTGCTGCAGGCTGTACTGCAGAGGGAAGTGCTGCTGATGCATTTCGAGAGGTTGTCGAAAATTTTTATGGTGGTTTATGTCCTGGTAAGAAGGCTGAGCTTTGTTCGGGTGTGGAATGCTGAGGCAGTGTGAGCAACACACAGGTGCAGAACACTGAACTGCGGGTGGAAATGGATGTGCCTGGCTATTCACGGGCTCCAGCTGTGGTGCTGATGAATGGTGCCCATGATACAAAGAGGTTTGTAACCCTTGAACATTTCCACAGAGTAGCATATCTGAGTGAGAAATGTGTCCACCTTCCATTGTGAAACCTCCTGGAAAAAATGACAAATTTACTCTCTCCTATGGTCTTGACAAATTTACACAATAAAAATTGGAGACAAGGAAATGACCATCATTCACATTTCATATATAAAAGATACTAAAATATCCTGTCTAAACAGTCTGCCAACATACATTCAAGACAAATTTTTCATCATTTTTCAGTGGTTTCAAAGCATAGCAAACTCCCACCGATGTCAGTGGAACTCCTGGTTGAATTACACAGCAAACACTTTGAAAAATTGACCTTAACTTATTTTACCTTAAATGATGGATATGGCTCATACTTTCACTTTTTACTAAAGGATGAGCTTATCCTCATCCATAAACACAGGTACAAAAGACAGCTTCCAGGGTAGAAAGTGACAAAAATAAAAGAGATTGATATTGCATAGGTGAGACTCATAAAAGCTAGAAATAGAAGTGACCTATGAAATGATCTTGTCCATGCTTTTAGTCAAGAGAAGATTACTCCCTGCAACACTTTTGATAATGTTTTACCCCATTTAGTTTTTAATATGTTAAAATGGGAAGAGAACTGATCTTTTAGATCACTGATCAGTCTACTGAACTGAATTTACTGTAAAAACCCACAGCAGTTGGGAAACAAAGTCACAGAATCTACATCTGTTATATAAATAACACTGTAATTATTATATAGTCAGTGTCCTAAAGTCATCTCTGTGCCCATTAATTGTGTCTCAAGACTGCTCAGGTCCCTTGGCCACTAAGATACTAAAAGAATCTGACACCTAAATGATGTCTTTTAACAGGTGAATTGATATAACTGAGGAAAACAGCTCAGCTACATTAGCTTTTCTTCAGGATATGACAAGAGTTTCAAAACTGGATGTCAAAACAAAAAAAGGAGAGCCCTTTCTGGAAAGTACTGTATTGTCTATATCTGTGTAGTCTAGCTTTGGGCACTTGTCTAGTATATTTTTCTTACCCATATTGGATAGTTGTTTAGTCCAGTAGGAGGGATCCCAGGTGAATCTGATCTTCAGAGGAGGGCCTATGTCTGTGTTACAGTTTGTCTCTAATAAACGCTGGATCTGAAATACAATCTGGTGACAAATCAAAGGATGATGCTTTTATTCACAATTATAAGATCATGAAAAATGTATTCCTTGAGAAACATGAAGTCCTCAAAACAGTTCTCACAATTACTGCCAAATAAGTATTGCTCTTACCAGTTCTTTACTGAAGAGAAATGGGATGCTGCTTTTACTGCACACAGCCCAGCTGATGAAGTTCTGAACATGTTCTACCTGTCTGCCTAAAACCACAACGCCTTGCAGTTGTTGCTCCAATTTCTGCTTCCTTTCGCTGGTGATCTTCTGTTAATAATGTGAATCAGTAGAAGACAGCTGTCAATTCTTCAGACACCCATAGTGCATACAATCACTGGCACTGCGTTATGCATTATTTCCAGCAATACTGTTGCTTAGGTTCTTTTTAAACCACCAATCATAAAAAGAAAGAAAATCCTACTCAGGAGATATGTCTGAATTCGGGAAGAGCAATGACTTCCCCAGGAGCAAACAAGCATGCACCAGTTCCTTGGAACAGTCTTCCAGTCTCCATGATTTAGGGACCACAAAAACAGAGCCTACGTTATCAGCCTCAGTGTAGTCTTCTATTAATTTGTCTAATTGCTTTTGAACCCATGCACAGCATATAGCAACTTGGAGTTTCACACTTATTCACCATTTATGTGAAGAACAACCTGCCCCTGTCTGAGTTGAACCTCGCACCTGCCAATTCCATCCACTGCCCCCACAATGCACTTCAACTGAGCACTGCAAGTGCATGCACAGTTCAGCTGTGGTTATAGATAACTCAGACAAACACTGAAATGTTGTCAAAATACAGGAACACTGAATTTACTTAATGCTTAAAAAAGATAAAAATGATAACATAAATTTCTCTATTTTGCAAAGCTACTTAGCTGAGTAACCACATTTGAATAAAAATACATGAGTTCCAAGGTAGCCAGCCCATGCTGAGTGCCTTGTCTTTCCTGTACCTGCTAAAATGACCCAAGAATAACCAAGAACTGGAAACTCTCATCAGCAATTTTTGTGCTCAGCACATTTCAAAATAAAATCATATATATATTTCAACTGGACATCCAAAAATTGAAGAGTCAAAACTACTGGGTCTGTTGCAGAAAGTAGACCAAAGAATCATTTTTGAAACAGGATATTAATTGTGCTGCTATTGGGCTTCTACGAATTAGACATTAAAAGCAGAAGCTGGTTTGTTTTGTAGGTACTCAAAAGGTGCACACATATTCTCTGTAAATGCATTAGAAATTGTGGTTGACTCATGATAAGCAAACATTTTGTCACTTCACCCTGAACCTTTGTCAACCATTGATTCTACATAAAATTCTGCAGGAAAAAAAAAAGAAATATTTGAAAATATAAACAAAGGGGCAATAGCTCTCACAGTCTATATTCTTTCCATTGGCACTGGGGTTAAATTTAATTTAGTTTAATTTCCCAAGGTATCAAATAAACTAGCCTTACTTACTTCAAGTTGTTCAAGAAGGATGTTTGTTCGTTTATCGATTTCATTCATCAGAACCATCTTGGCCATTTTTATTTGGTTTTCTACTTTTTTGTACAAATGTTTTACTTCAAGCAACCTACGGGTAAGAGATACACATCCCTGAATGAGTCAACTGACATGTCATTTATTCATAGCTTGGTAGTTATTTGTTACAAGAACTGATTTAACTGTTGATGGAAATCCAGTGCAAGTTGTATCATTTCCCATTAGTTCTCTCACACTTCTCTTTAAACATAGAATTATAAAATGTTTTGGGTTGGAAGAGAACTTCAAAGGCCTTCTAGTTCAAAACCCCTGCAATGAGCAGGGACATCTTCAACTAGATTAGGTTGCTGAAAGCCCCATCCAACCGGCCTTGAATGTTTCCAGGAGTGGGGCATCCGCTACCCCCCTGGGCAACACATTCCAATGTTTTACCACCTTCATCATAAAACTGTTCTTCCTTCTATCTAGTCTAAGCCTACTTTCTTTCAGTTCAAAACCATCACCCCTTGTCCTGTTGCAAGAGGTCCTACTGAAAAGTCTGTCCCCATTATTTTTAGAAACCACTTCTAAGTATTGAAAGGCCACAGTAAAGTCTCCATGAAGCTTTCCCTCCTCGAGGCTGAACAACCCCAGCTCTCTCAGCACATCCTTATAGGTATTCCATTTGTCTGATCATCTTTATGGCATTTCTCTGGAACTGCTCTAACAGGTCCACATGTTTCTGGTGCTGAGGACTCCAGAAATGGATGCAGTACTCCAGGTGAGATCTCACCAGCATGAAGTAGAGGGACAGAATCACCTCCCTCGACCTGCTGGCAACACTGCTCTTGATGCAGCCCAGGATACAACTGATTTTCTGGGCTGGAAGCCCACATTGCCAGTGAATGTCCAGCTTTTCATCCACCAGTACTCCCAAGTCCTTCTTCAGGGCTGTCCTCAATCTCTTCATGCCCCAACCTCTCTTGATATCAGGGGTTGCCCTGACCCAGGTGCAGTACATTGCACTTGCCCATGTTCAACCTCAGGAGGTTCACAGGGGCCCACTTGAGCTTGTGCAGGTCCCTCCAGATGGCATCTCATCCTTCAGGCACGTCAACTGCACCACTCAGCTTGGAGTCAGCTGCAAACTTGCTGAGGGTGCACTTGATCCCACTGTCTCTGTCATTGACGAAGATATTAGACAGTACTGGTCCCAGTCTGACCCCTGAGGGACACCAATTCTCTCCAGTCTCCATCTGGACATTGAACCTTGACCACTGCTCTCTGGACGTGACATGCTTATGCTGATTGATTCGCGCAAACATCATGCCAAGAACAAGTCTTAAGTTCTTTGTCAACAAATACACACAGAATACATCCAAAAAACTTCCACTTTATACTAGAGTATAAACAGTACAAATAGATTTGTACTCTTTGAAGGTGTTTGAAATGGTTTCATTAATGTCAAAGAGAGATCCAACAGCTACTAACTGCATAACCAGTAGCTGAAATCCAGTTCATATAATTAAATATTTTCATTTTTATATTAGCCTTGACTGCATTGCAGCTTGTTTTCAGGTTTCTTTAAGAAATAAGGTATTTTAAAAATTATCTTTATTCCTAATATTTTCAAGTTCTAGTTCAGAACCAGATTATAACAAAAAAAAAAGTCTTATCTCTGAAGTCAGCTGTCACATGCCTTATAAAGACTACGGAATCATGTATTACAATACCATGACTTGTCAGCACCACTCAAACACAAATTTGATATTTTTAATCTTCCTATTATTTCCTATCCTCCAAGAAAAAAATATAGCAGCTGCACTTAATTCTGTTAACCTACATTTAGTGAAAATAATATTTTTGCATGTCACCCACTTTCATGGAAAAAAAATAATGCATAGCAATTACCTGTCTTCAATCTGTTTAGCTGAAACCTGAATCCCACTTTTTTTCTCTTCCACTTTGGTTACAACATTTTCCAGAATAACTCTCTGGTTTTGCAGAGCTTCCTCAAGATGTCTGAACCTGTAAAAGAAGGGGAAATTCTCACACTATGTTTTTCCATGTTCATAAATAAACAACCTATCAGTCAATGAGTTTAGGGGACCAGTTGCCTTAATACCTGTCTGGACGTGATGCCCTGCCTCTTTTCTACTACAGGTGCTCTCTGTGGCAGCTGAACCTTATCAAACCTCATACAGGCAGGCTCATGTCACAAAACATGTCCCTGTCTATAAACAATTCCTTACATGGCTCACACACTTCCACAGGCAAGCAGCATGCTTGAGCTTGGTAACTCCGGTCTTGTACAGTCATGAAGTCCCTGGTAGAGGCAAACACTAAGTATTTGAACCATGCTCAGAATAGAGTTCAACTTGTGCCTTTGAGCACAGTCATGAGGAACTCTCTGCATACACAGCACCTGGGCAGACAGTACAGCTGGGAAGGTACAAACTGCTGAGAGCAGGGAGTGCCCCTGTGAGGGCAGTGAGCCACATGCTACACCACCTGGGCATAAGACAACTGAGCTGAGTTTGCTGTGGCTTGTAAGTTCAGACCAGCCTGCAGCATCAGCTGACAGGAAACGCAGATGAAAAGTCTTAGATATCAATTAGCTCCAGTTTTAGCCTTGATTATGATTAAGCAATGAGCGTGTGGTACCTGTGTTCCTTATGCTCTGCCAGAAGGCAGCTGCGGCAGGTCAGGGTGTCGCAGGTCTCACAAAACAGCCTGAGTGGCTCTTGAGTGTGCACTGGACAAAATAAGGAAAACTCGCTTGCTTCATCTTCAGTTGCTGAGGGAAATAAATAAAACAATGGTGTCATTGACAAGGACTACTGTTAGGGTTCAGAAAAAGAGTAACCAAACTCACAATTGTATGGAAAGTCTTGATATTTTTAAGAGGCGCAGAACTGGAACCATCCGATTATATGAAGCAGGGATTGTTTATATTTTTTCCTGGCCTTATATGTCCTACAAACTGAGCACATCAGAGGGGGTCAGAAAAAGAGGCATCAAAACAAATTCATATTGTCCTCCAAATCCTCAAGAGTTTTAAGTATCTCTCATGATTTGGTGCACTTGCCTCACAACTTTGAATGCCCTGGTCTGGCAAACCACTCAACAAAACTGGACTGTAAAATGTAGAATAGCAAACATATTACATAAACCTGCAGTCACAGCAGAAGCAAGGAAACCTTTTGTTCTTAAAAAGTCGTATGAGCAATTGTTTCTCAAATTTGTGTTTGGTCCAATGCAGTTTATAAAGTTCAGCAGCTAGGGCTGATATCAGGCCCTAAAATCCATTTTTAAAAGGATTTTCTAAAGAGTAGTGTGATGAAGAGTAAGAATGGACAGTGGATATGCAAAGTGGAAGCATTGCTTCTGTACAGTCTATTCTTGCCCTCTTTCCTGAAGGGTAGAATTGTTTCAGAAAGAAGGAACACTGTCACGAATGCCAGGAAAAAAAAAAAAAAGAAAGAAAAGAAAAGCTAAACTATGGCAAAACAAACTCTGAAACTAGATATTCACAAGTACATCTACATTAACAGTTAAGGCCAAAGCTCTTTTCTTGGACCCAAAAAGCACAGATTCCAGAGCCTAATTTTATTAACCAATGTAAGGACAGGCCATCACCATTACTGGTGAAAAATATTGTTTTCTCAAAATGAACAGAAAGCACAAGTTCGGGTACAGTGACAGATTTATCCAGGTCAGTGTTCAAATCCTGTGTCCACAGAACCAAAGTTAATAGTACATTGGAATACATACAGGGACAACAAGAAAAATCACATGATTGCATCCTCAGAGTACTCCAACAAAGACACTATCCCATTATTGCTTATCAACACGTGAGAAATTAAATAAGCAATCATTATTAGATAACAAATACTGATAAAAACTTTAAATTATACAAAAATATTTATTATTTATATATCATTTGCTCATAGATCATCCTCTCATCCTGTAGCAAAATGGAGCCTTTTATGGAATCAAGCTTTTGAAGTGATAATATTGCAATAACAAACAGCATACAACAAGCTATACTGACTCAGTCACTTCAAATTGGAAGAAGTGACAGAGAAGCCACAGCAGAGAAGCAGAAAGGCTAAGAAAATCTGATGGCTGACAATGAGAACGAAAATAGGGAGAAAATCTGTGCCACGCTCTAAAACAACATATCAAATTGCCTAGTTTTTAGATTGCTATCTACTCTAAATATTTCTAAGAAGGTTGATTTATTTCCTCCAGTTCAATTGACTTTCCTTCCGCCTTCTTAACAATGTGCAAGAAGATAATTTGTGGTAGATTAGGCTGAGATTTTATGTAACAGCATTACATGGTTTACATTGTTATGAATTATTTACTGCAGTATCATGCTTGATTCTTCAGGGAAGTTTGTTGGTTTATATAATTATTAAATCAAATGCTAACAGATAGCATTATTAAAAGAGGAAATTAGATTAGATTTTTTTTATTCTTCTCCAATACTTTCTTCTAGCAAGGTATAAACTGAACTCACCTTCACAGCAATATTTTTTTCCTGATTATATTGCAAACAAGTACTTTTGTATTAAAATCTGCAGCTGCCTGTGCAAATAATACGCAGCAAGCAGGTTTTATAACCAATATGTAGCCAATGCGGATGTCAAAGATCATCTTTTCCTCCCTTATAGGGTCAGATTTTACATCTTAAAAGGAAAACAAAAAGACCATAATAACTATCTCAAGATTCATGGGTTGGAAAAACCTCTGGAAGTATTCAGCATCTACAAAGCATACAAGCTGTTTTTCTGAAAACTCAAGATCAAATTATCCATATTAAACTGCAGCTTATAATGAGATGCTGTCTTTCAGGTCTGTGTATAATGAAGCCTAGTCACAATTTTATATAATGATTTCTCCATTTTTTCTCTCTGTAAAGAGTTCTTTACCCACGGTGATTGTAATCATCCAAGAGAAATCAGTGGGATTTTTTTAGTACCATGTCAGATTTAAGAGACAGGCAGATTCCAAATGCAAACTAAGGATAAAATCAGTGTTATCTAATTACAACACAGACCCACATCCTCTGCCACTAGTAATCCCCTGACTCAATTGGTATGTCAGTGAGAACTGCCACTGAGCTGTGGTATTCTTGACCTACTTTACTTTACACTCAGAGCAACACTCTTCAGTTTAAAAATAAGTTTAATACTTAGAAATCAGGTGCTAAACAAGAGCAAAAGCCTGTTTTTTTCTAGAAACATATACCTTGACCACAACTATCCATGTTAGTTTCTTGATAAGAACCTCATTTGATGAAAAGGGAAAGCTCAGTTGCCCTAAATTCCGATAATTCATCATTTGAGTCACCATTTTCTACAGCCTATATTTTCTTTATCTCAGGTGTATCTCTTGAATAATTAACAGAAACTTTTCAATCTCTCTTCCTCTAACCAGTTCATGTCAACTTTGGAAAAGCAATCTCATCTTAGCTAATACAGTTCTCCCTCCACTTGCATAAATCGCAATGGCTCAAACTTTGATTTTGTAGGTTCATGCTTAACCTTGAGAGACTGAAAGAAAAGGATAGTATAGCAAAGAGAAAATTATTCAATTTGTGCACTAGCCTGTAAATAGCTGAGATGTCAGTACCAGATCATTTACCCCTAACACAGTTTTGACAAAAGGATTGTTTCTTCTCAGTTGCAAAGTACAGATTTCCATATAACAAGGAAAGAGTCTGTACTAATACCTAATGTTATTTGAGAAAGCTGGGACTAAGGGAGTTTCTGGTTTTGTGACTTTAAGCAGTTCAAGAATTCTGAAGAACTTTGAACTTAACTAATTTAACTTATTCCTAGTGTTAATACAGAGCCCTCCAGTGAAATGCTCATTCTTCAGAGATTATTCCTCCAAGACTGCTGCTTGATCTGTCACAAAGCTTTGGCTCATGATGCCAGCATCTAGTTCTCCAGTGCTCATCAAATTCATTCCAGAAGCAGATTTCAAAATTTTGACGTCTTGTGGTCACAGACCCAGAAACTTTTCAGGGCTTTTTTTGGTTTGGTTTTGGTTTTTTTTGCTTTGGGTTTTGTTTTTTTTTTTTTTTTTTTGGAGGGGGTTTTTTGTTTTCAGTTTTTTCCTAACTCTCGGGAAACACAGATAACATGAAAAAGCAGAAAAGTTTCCCGGGGAAGCCAGGTTCCTCTAGTTCTGTCACTCAAGGAAGAAATGGTTTATCAAAATTAATAGAAATAGGGAGGATTAGTGAGGGGTTTTTCCTACTTTACTTCATTTCAGACCCAGGATATCTTACACTTTTCAGATGACAAAAGAAGGTCTGGCCCTTGTAAAGCAAATTGCAAAAGACAGAACAGTTTAAAGGTGCAAAATCTCTCAATTGTTGCAAGGGCTTACAAAGAAGGTGACTTGTTCAGAAGCACCATACACAGACTGAAGATGGCAATTGAATCTCAAAGCAGAGCGTGGTTTATCTCCAGAAGCCAAAAAAAAACCCAAACCAACAGTCTGAGTTCAAGTATTTGCTTTCTTTGAAGTATTCTCAGGGGATATCTGTCCTAAATAAATAAAATATATAATAATAATAATGCACAGATTACATTCCAAATAATTTTTTGTATTAACTAGCCTATACATGCACTACCAATCCCCTTGTTCATGGTTTTTTTTCAGCATATAGAATTTAGCACTAACCTAAAATTCTTTCTCATCTTATGTGTTTGCATCTTTTTATTTATATAGCACACACAAACCCACAACTAAGTCACACATATATTTTCTTACCAGTATTTGTCAACAATATGAGTTAGTAATCTTAGTTAAAGTGAAATGAAATTATAAACAGTTGGAGCCTCAAAACCACAGTCCTTATCTTGTCATCAACTCAAGAAGAAAAACATATTGTCCATCCAATCAGGGCATTTGAGAGGGGACTGGGGGACTTCAGTTTATGTTATTCTCTAGAAAAAGACCCAAAAAACATTTAAATATAATCTGTGCTTTTTTATTATTACCATTCTTACAGATTTTTTTTTTGGTTACACCCTATTTGGCAAAGGCATATCATGTCTCAAGTGCCTCAAACTCTGTTTGATGTGACCACCCAGTGCTTAAAAGGACTCCATCTATGGCAAGTATAAAGTAAAAACTTCCCCAAGAAAAATCCTAAAGAAAAAAATTAAATAAAAAGTATAACTACTTTGCTATATTTATTCCTTTGTCTGTCCTTCATCTTCCTTATGAAGAAGGAAAGTGCAGAACAAACTCTCTAGCACAAATAAATTCATACCTGAGCAAAGCATAAACTTAAATCACTGTATAAAATTGAAAAATTCTTATTTCAGGTTACAAATTGCTTACATAAGTTTAGGTTAGGATACTTCACAGCAGATTTCTGGCATATGAGTAAAGAAAATAAGGAGCAGTAATAGGAGATGGTAATGCTTTCTGTGGATCATCACCGCATAGGGATGAGACATATTTGCCAGCGGGCTTTATTTATGCTTGCTCATGGTAAAATACACTCAGGACATATGCTTTTCCCTCCAGGCTTAGAAAAGGAACATCCTGTGGTGATCACAGCCTTTTGCTGTCTGTGACTCCCTCGTACACCTTGCCCACGTGCACAGGAATTGCTTTAGCATAGTTTTCTGAATGAAATTACACAAAGGAGGACAGAAATACTAAAAGGCAACTAAAGCCTGTTGCTCTTGTAGCCTTCCTCACTCCGCATACTGGAAAGGCATGTGGAGAAGATCATACCTGTGAAACACAAATATCCAAACTTTTTCTAATTCTGTGGAATGCTGATTGTGGCAATAGCCTTAAAGTTGGAGAAAAATCACGTAATCTCTCGTTGACAGGTACATAACCTTCTGAGTCACGCAGCCAGGGCATGGTGTCTGTGGCACAGAGCCTGCAACTACTCCTTTTTCAACTGAATAACTGACATGAGAAGAAATGAAATTTCTGTGTGTGTTCAGTACCTGTGCAGCCTTTCAGGGATACAGACAGGAAGCGGTCTCCAGTTTCCTTGCCATGCCTGTGCTCCTCTGTACAAGAGCTGCACAGCCACTTATTGCATCTGGTACAGAGACTGTGAGCAGGTCTCTTCTCTTTACACATGGAGCAGCTCTAAAAACAAAAAGTGCAATTACATACAAGGGTAACAAATTAACTGTACAAACTTATTTTTAGTAGACCATGATTCAGACTGGTAAGCTTAATGTTTTCTGTTCTCACAGTAATGCAATTCAAGTTATCTTAAGAGTCTGGTTATGGTATAAAAGGGAGAAGAATAAAATTAAGACTTGAAGCTTTCAAATAAAATTGGTTGTCTTTCTGTGCTTTAGCACAATCAAACATTATTATGGCATGATGCAACAATTATTCAGCAAAATTCTAGGCTCCATGTTACACATGAAGTCAGAAGAAATAATCATAATGACTTGTTTCTTGTGAACTGAAAAAGCAATGAAACTATGAAATAAGACTTGTATGATTTAAGTTAAGGAGGGTTAGGTTAAAAGTCACTTTGAAAATGAGAGGCATGCTCTATCCCTTTCTGTTAGTGCTGTAGTACTTACTGATGGCTTTAACATGTCAAATGAGTGTACATGTTACTTTTACATATTTCTATATATATATATTTACATAGATAGACACAGATATTTTCTACCTCAGAAAAGATAGTCTAGGTTGCCCAGTAAATATGTGGAATGTTAGAAAGTCCATCAAAAAGTTTTTTAACCACCATTTCCTTTGTAATCATAGCATTATGCAGAAGCATTTTACCACAACATGCATTAATTTGTTTGTCACTAATTATTTATTAAGGAACTAAAAAAAAGTTGGTTATTTCTGCTTTTGTGTATATGAAAGTAAATTGGAGCTATGTCAGCAGAGCTACTCTAAATCTATACTGCTTTATTTAAAATTAGAGCTTACTCTATTTGCTTTAATATTGTACAAACCACTCTTATCAACTCATTGTTCAAGAGTTTCTAAATATTCACAATTTTTTTCTAACAGATTGGGCAATTCTTGACAATAAGACAACAAAGCAAAATTTCAAATGTGTTTAATTGTCTAGAGAGGGAACTGTCTGTGCAAGCCATTCTGCTATTTTAGCCATTTGCTTATCAACATTTTTTTTCCAAAAGGTACATGTCATAATTTAAACCAAAAAAGCCTAATAAAACTTACATAACCAAAATGCAAAGCTATTTATGCTTGGGAGCAAAGCTGGTTATATAAAAAGAAGTGTCTAATTTAAAATGTAGGCCCATCAAGGGCCAGCTTAGGGATCAGGTCAAAAGTTGAGTGATGCTCTTCCTTCTCTGCAATAACCAAAACTGCTTAAACACAGGTTTACCTGTAACAGTTCAGCTGTCAGTCTGACTAGAATTTATGTTGACACTGTTCTGTGTTAACATTACTTTTAAATTGTAGAGTGTTTCCAGAGTTACATTATTTATGACATGGAAATGGGCTTTTGGGCAAGAGATTCTGAATTGCATACTTTTTGAAACTCCTGCTGCTGGCATATAGCACATTCTATCATTCATGCTTCACTGTCTCACACACTGAGAGACATCTTGCTTCCCTGACAGATTCCCATTTGAACATATTAGGTAAATTAAGAGAATGATGGCAGTTCAGCTGTCTCAGTTAGATGACCTGGTGCTTCTCCTTTTGATGTCACCAATGGTGAAACTATGGTTTTAATTTGGGGAGTGATGGTAGTGGTTAAAGACAGTAAGCAAGCAAGCTACATGACTTGACTGTTAATAAAAAGGAAGTAAGCCAAAAACTATGAGGAAGGTTCACAATTTGCTCTGGGGTACTCATATGCTCCAGTGAGAAATATGCTTTACTGAACAGCTCTTAGGGCTCCTAAGGGATTACAGAAAAGAAAAACCTTCTTTTAAAGATGGTTTGAAAAAAAATAATCTAGTGCTTTTGAAGACATTAGATATTCTCATTTGATTTCCTTTCTACACAAATTCTCATTGAAAAGTAAATGATGCGAGTCACAGTAATTAAGAAATCCCAGTATAGTAAGTGCATTTTAAACATTCAGCAATATCTCATGAATTTGCTTCTTCTCTTTGAAGAGTGTATGCGAATAGACCCCTTCTTGCTTTAGATCAAGTTATGTGGCACTCTACAAGCAACTTATACCTGAGAATGTCAACACACTTTGCTTGCATTGACTTTATTTCCCCAGAACATTTCATGGATTAGGTTACACATTATTTACTTTTTAACAATAGAAAAAATGAAACACAGAAATGACTGACAGGGAAGAAGTGCATCCCCTCTAGAACTTTTTCCAATCATGTCACTGGCTCAATTTAAAGAGGTCTCAAGCCTTCTGCACAGGACAGAACTGATCTACAAATTGTTGCTGCCTCTACAGAGGTTAAGTGCGGTGGAAAGACATATCCTCTTTCCTACATTAAGGAAAAAGTGTTCACCTCCACCCAAAGTCCCTGAAACTGGATATCCAATATGGCTATCTAGCTTCCTTAGGAATCAAAAGTGCAAAAGAGACAGACTGAGGCCCAAGAGATGCAGAAGGTGAAGTCCTGTATCCCTGCTCCTTTGTTACTCTTCCCTTGCTTTGGACCCCATTTTGTATAAAACAGCCAGCAGACTACAGAATAATTTTGACAAGTTTTCACCTCTTTTAACTCCCAGCTATAGGTAATACTATCACATTCTGAAATCAATCTTGCTCATGTTTTGTAACACAGGGGGAAGAGACACACCTTCTTCTGTCCTTTGTCCCTCCTGTCAACCCAAAGTAGTGGCAACTACAAAACTGCAAGAATAGTCCTGCCTGTTAACTGGGTATTTAACAGAAGTGAAATCCATCTATGTACAGTATCAATACAAGGCCAAGGTAGTAATCCTCTTTGTCTTCTGATTACCCTTTGAATCCATTTCCCAATGGGAAAATGCAATGTGATGTGACTTTTTTATCATTAAAACAGACAATCAGAAAATTATAATTGCCCACACCATCTAATGGGTAATATTGTTGTAACCACTCAGTCAACAATCTGCTGCTGTGGCCAGCAGACCAAGGAGGCAATCCTCCCCCACTGTTCAGCCCTAGGGAGGCCACATCCAGAGTACTGTGTTCAGTTCTGATCTCCACAGCTCAAAGAAACAAGAAGCTACTAGAGAGAGTCCAGTGGAGACCACAAAGATGATGAGGGGTCTTGAGCATCTCTCCTATGAGGGGAGACTGTGGGAACTGGGCATGAGAAGACTGAGATGGGACCCCATTAATGCATATAAATATCTCAAAGGGGTGCCAAGGGGATGGCGCCAGACTCTTTTCAGTGGTGCCCAGTGACGGAACAAGGAGCAATGGACAAACTATAACACAAGAAGTTCCATCTCGACATGAGGAAGAACTTCTTTACATTGAGGGTGGCAGAGCACTGGAACAGGTTGCCCAGGAAAGTCATGGAGTCTCCCTCTCCGGAGACATTCAAAACCCACCTGGACACGTTCCTGTGCACCTGCTCCAGGTGACCCTGCCTTTGTGGGGAGGTTAGACTGGGTGATCTCCAGAGGTCCCTTATAACACTGACTATTCTGTGATTTTTTTACTTTTTGTTGAGAGTAGAAAGAGGGCAATGAGGAATCCAGGAGTTTCAGTATCTTCCTAATATATTGATTATGGCAGATACACTAGGATCAATATTTTTAATTGGCTATTTGAAATATAGAGAGTGAAACTCATTCTTCAACTAAAATTCAAAAAGTACTATGAAGTCAGTATGTCCATCTCTAGTAGTGAAGTAATTCCAGTGCTGCCTAAGCAAACTGTTGAGTCTGTTGTTCAAAACAAAATTTGCTCTGTTTTCAATGTTCATCTGGTACTGTTTCAACAACCCACAAGGTAACCAACTTTGTGGTTTTCACTTACCTTTGCCATGGCTGAATCACCAGTCGGAAAGTCCTTGAGGAAGAAATTCTCAACTACATCCCTTGCAAAGCAGGTCTGTTTGCACACAGGACAGGAAAGGATACCTGAATTTTTAAGAAAAGAAAACCATGACAAATAAAACAATGCACATCAGCCCTGTGAACCAGGAAATTATACAAACCACACTTCAGTATTGCGGTTTTTATATCTCACGTGGGCAGTTCCAGGAAACTAAGGCATCCTTCAAGCCCTAAGTTACATGTGGCTAGATCTAGTTCAATATATAGAAAAGAAAAACAAAGCAACAAAATCTCTAGAAAAACACTACAGTTAAGTTGACTTATTTCAATATTTATCAATTACATCTGCATGTCCAAATTAATTCATTAAGGCTTACAGATTTCATTAAAAAGGAGTTGCAGTTTAAAATGTATTCCCTTGTTACAGATCTAGTTGTGCTTTCTGATATTTTCTAAGGTTCTCCTGGGCCAGCTTTACATTACCAGAGGAACATTCAAGCATAAAACATACACTCCTTAATACTAGTTTCACAGTGCAGGATGCTATCCAAGTGAAGTGACAGAGGAGCAACATGCTGCTAGCAGAAGCAACAAGTCAGAACACAGGTAAAGGATGAAAAAAAAGTTTCATAAAGAAAAGTCAGAATTGCAAACCATCTATCAAAACATGACTACCCCTAAAGCAAAGCAAAAAGAAGAGGAGAACAGTATGAACAGCAAAACCTGGTTTCACCATCATTATCTACTGAGCACAACTGGGATGAATCTCCGTGTCTGTCTGGGTTGAGAACCAACAGTTCAAGAAGGTGTCCATAAGTGCACACCTGTATTTTTTCACCTCTGTTATTTCATTCCTTGACTCCCTGGGCTAGGACTTATATTTGGCTAGAAGCTCCAGTCCATTGATTTGGCCATTTTTTTTAAAAGGATGGTGCATGTTTCTGATCCCATTTCTGTAAGTTACTGTAGATGTGAAAACAGTCCTTCAGAGATGGTGGTGGTGTCTATTTTACCTTACCAAGTCTTTTTTTTATCCAAGATTTTCTGTCCTGTTGAGAGCAGAATTTCAGTGCTATGCTCATTTTGCCAAGTCACATGTTTATGATAACTAACAGAATTTTCCATGACTAAATGGTGTAAACTCACTCAAAGCAAGATTTTAAAAACAAGATCAATGACAATATTCTTCTGAACTATGTTCAGAACTTCTTGCTTAACTAAAATTATTTTTGCATGGCTTGTAGGTTAATTATACCTTAAGTTGTTTATTTCTCTTTGTATTAAATAGTTAAACAGAGACTCATGTTTTGAAGGTGCTTAATATCACCTGCTCCTTGGAATGTGGCTCCTGCAGACTCTGACCAGATGCACAATACTAATTCTGAATTTCTCCCATTTTCACAGCTGGGTACTGTAGCTTTAACAGCAGCATTTTACATTGACACACAAACCCCAAAACATTCCTACATCACCGCTTCCGACAAGAGTACCACAGATGTCTGAATATGTTTACTTTCATTCATGAATATTTTGAAGAAACCTTGAGTTCTGGTACATCTCCTTTGAAGAGTACACCTTACTAAGAACCACTTCCATGAGGTTTAGGTCTCCTTTAGCCCAAATCTTACATAAAAGCAAAAGTATAATTGTTTACTATTTTTCAAGGTTGCATTTACAACACAGCTGTCATTTAGGGGCCCAAGTAGCAGACTATGGTGTACCTAAACTACTTGTTTAACTGTGCATTTCATACAGCAGTGACTGTTCGTGTAGACACAACAAGGAACAAGCAGTATCCACGGGCGACTGTGCAACTCAGCTACAAGTCATCTCAGGGGAAATGGTAACACAAGCAATTGCCAATGCACTGCTCATCTTCTGGGGGTGTAACCTGAGTCTTGTTTAAGTGTATTCTGGCGACAGGAGTTACAAAGATGATAAAACCTTATCTGATAAAGATGCCTGTGATGGCAGAAAGCTGTAGAAGTCTTTTAAACATTTCCTCTACTTTGCACCCTTAATATAAGGAGTGCAGTTGAAAAGGTATCTTAATCACCTGTAATTTTTGTAGCTAATCATGTCTTCATATGTTACACCCTAGGACACCACACTAGGTCACACTGAAACCTCTCCATCTTTTCCCAAATTAGTATGTGTGTGTGTGTCTTTTAGATATCTCTTAACAGCTCAGTTCTCTAGAGAAATGTCAAAGCAGCAGGAGCACTGCAGTGTGCAAGACAAGCTGTGTTACACTGACAGTGCCCTCCTACTCCTCGTAAATGGTGCATGCTACAAGCACTAGTAATTGTAGTGCTGATTCCTAGGAGGTGAAAGTTCTCAAGTTTCCCTGTGAGCACTGTACAAAGTGCCAGAGTTGCAAGAGCAGCAGAAAGAAAAAGACAGATACATTGTGACTGAAAAGCCAGGAAGTAAGATATCTCCTTTCCGAGCAGGTTCCCAAATAAGTCTCACGGGACAAGCTCTAATTCTCCGCGTGGTTAATAGGAAACCACCTCCTGACTTCACAGAGAATCGCCTTGAGCCCTTTGAGACTTGGAAGCAGCTTCTTTCTCTCACAACAGCATTGCCCAAGCAGGGTCAGTTCTGGATCTGGCAAACGCTAAGAGAAGACCTCCATACTGACACTACAGAATACACTGCAAATAGACTGAAGGGGAAATTATCCACAGGTTACTTTCTGAAGTAAGAAATGCATGACTCTCACAGTTACTCTTTCATTTACATGCTATATGAGTGAGCACACAGTCTGACACAAAACATTTCTGGGAATAGCTATTCACTGGGAAACAAAAACATATAACTTTGCCATAGCAAGGACCACTTCCGTCTGCACACCACATAAGATTAAAAAGTTAATACTGAAGTTACTATTTTATTTCATTCAGTTAGTGTGGAATGTTAAATCAAATTATATCAATTGAATGATACTTAATAGAATGCTTATGGCCTCAGGCATGTGCATGTGAACTTTAAATTCTGCTAATTTGTTACAAATCAGTGAAGTATAGAATACAGTATAATTAGAATGCATTAATTTGATAATGAGCAAGACCGTCTTTTAAATGTTTTTAAATTAAAAAAAATTTAAAGCAAACTTCAATACTTTTCACCCTTAGAAAGCATAAATCATGCATGGATTTCAGTTCTGCACAAAAGCCTCCTTATATATTTTGAGAAATGCAGCAGTATTAAGAAGTGTGAAACAGTCAAGACTTTGAAGGTAGATGACATTATTGCTGATTACAATTTTATGATTATATGATTATGATTACTGCCCCTGTGATTAAGTGATATCCAAAAGTGATGCCCTGAATGCCATGGCACAATTTTTTCCCCAGGTTTCATATCCAAGTTATGCTACTGAAATCAGTGCTGTTCCAGAGATACACATGGAGCAAGTTGCACGCACACAGATCAGAACTTGGTATTAAACTCACTACCACAGACCATCAAGTACAGCTTTGATTGTGTAAATGTCAAAGTCTATCTTAAATATCCAGGTAACTGTAAATTATAATGATTTAAAATCTAAAACTCCCCTGAGATGAACATAAGACATGTAGAGCCTTCAGCTCAATTAAAAAAAAAAACCACAAAAATTCAAAAAAAGAAGAGCATAACAGTTAACAGAAAACATGATGGGGACACCATAGCAATACAGTATCAGAAGTTGTCTCCTACTCATAGGAGGGTTAATCAAAAGCACCTTCTTACCTGTCCTAATATTGAATTCTATATCTAAGACCTTGTTAAAAGCATAGGAGACAGATTTCCATCTTGCTAGAAGAGGGCTTACCTGGATGTGGTGGCTTGAGAGATCATACTTGTTCAGCTAATTGGGCCTATTTGATACCTTTTCCATTTAATAAAACCTCTGCTCTCTGGAAGCGCCCAACCTTTTTCAATATAAATTCCCCAAAGAATCTAGTGTTAGCTTGGCATAATAAATACACTGCAGAATGGTTTGCAAAGCAATTAGCCTGCAGTTAAGCAAACCTCACATATATATTTACAAATAGTCACAAGCAGCAGCTACATCAACACTACAAGGGGAGTGCACTACGCTGTGCTTGTGCTCAGAGTGCAAATCACCAGTAAAGTACAATTTCCTAGAAGCCCCTTACCTGTGCTCTGGATAAACAGTTAGAGAGCCACCCACAAAGTCACCTGTATCAGGGAGCAGGTGTTATTAAGAGCTGCACACAGAGTGTGCTCCCTGGAATCAAGCTGTGCCGCGATGAAGACTCAAGTCACTACACCTTTCATGGAATATCTGGGGATGCACCCCCTTCTTTGACCTGGAATGCTGACAAATCAGCGGGGAAGAAAGATGTACTGGGCCACTACAAGGTGCAAAGTTTTTCTCCTCTTGCCGCCTTTCTTGTTCATGCCTCTCAGATTCATTCAGGTCTCTGATAACTCACCTTGGTTATATTTTTCCTGAATAAAAATCCCATAGTTAAAATGAATACCAGTATCCTACTTCCATTCTTGCCTGGGTCTTCTCTCAGTCCTCAGAAAAACCTGGAGCAGGTGTTCAGGTGGAAAGAGAAGAGCTTTTCTTCCAAATCCTGATTGTAGCAGGTCTCACAATGCCATTCACTCCCACAGTACATTTTGAAGGCCATTCCCTAAATATTTTCTTGCCTTTCTACCTTACCACTGCCTTCAAACAACACCGTTAATCTGTTTTAAGAACCCGTACTTGGCAGACAGCTCATTTAAATATATCATTATTACAGCGCTGTGGGTGAAGGGAAGAGTAGTCAGAAGCCCTAGAGACTCACTGTTTGCACGTATGAGAATGATGCAATTTCTGGATCTAAGCAGCAATTCAACATGGATTTGAACAACAGTTTACATATTAAGAGATCAGGAGTCAAATTCAGCTATGGTGCAATCATGATGCCTAAAGAGAGTCCATTATTGATATTAAAACCTCTAGAAGAAGCAAAGAGCTGAAAGAGCTGTTGACATGCTCTATTTTTGCATGGAAATTAAATTG